GGGGGCCACGCCCCTCGTATAAATCAGATAGCCTCGTGTTTCGATGCTCTTTCTATTACCGAGATTGACTAGTAGATTTTCACTTATCTGTTTAGTAGAACCGAAGTATGCATTGTCAAGTTTCAAAGGCTGAAGTTTTGGCAACGAATAGCCTCAATAGTTTACTGGAATCGTATGAAATTAAGTGTCGATTGTCGTATAACGGGGAAAGAACTCACGGATGTTACATACTTTTAATATACAAATACAAACACACAAGTGAACGAGTGGAATACCAAAGCCGAACTCCTCTGTGACATTTGAGAATAGTATATATAATAATCAACCTGTCCTAAGGACATTTTATAATGTATATAAATACACACGTTTTAGAGTTACATATATTAATCATTTTGACATAAGATCAGTCCGCATGTATCCTGCACTATAATATTCATAAATCAAAGTCATGTTCCATAGTGCACATTATGAAATAAAAACCTTAATATATGTATATACATGTTGACTTGTCATTCTTTTTGAATATAGCGTGTATGACTCATTAGCCTGTGCAACCAGCTATACGACAATTCCTCCTTTACTTATATAAAAAAATTTTAAAAAAAAGTATTAAACAAGGTATTAAATATCAAATATTTCAAACTCGTTCTAACAAATTAAAAAAAAATCTAAAATCAACTTGACATCTGTTTTACCCCTAAGATAAGGATGTTATACATCAACCTTTTGTCACTTTATTTTAAAAGAAAAATCACCTTAGGTAATCATTTTGACATAAGATCAGTCCGCATGTATCCTGCACTATAATATTCATAAATCAAAGTCATGTTCCATAGTGCACATTATGAAATAAAAACCTTAATATATGTATATACATGTTGACTTGTCATTCTTTTTGAATATAGCGTGTATGACTAATTAGCCTGTGCAACCAGCTATACGACAGTTCCTCCTTTACTTATATAAAAGAAAAATTTAAAAAAAAGTATTAAACAAGGTATTAAATATCAAATATTTCAAACTCGTTCTAACAAATTAAAAAAAAATCTAAAATCAACTTGACATCTGTTTTACCCCTAAGGTAAGGATGTTATACATCAACCTTTTGTCACTTTATTTTAAAAGAAAAATCACCTTAGGTAATCATTTTGACATAAGATCAGTCCGCATGTATCCTGCACTATAATATTCATAAATCAAAGTCATGTTCCATAGTGCACATTATGAAATAAAAACCTTAATATATGTATATACATGTTGACTTGTCATTCTTTTTGAATATAGCGTGTATGACTCATTAGCCTGTGCAACCAGCTATACGACACGATCTTGTGTACTGTACTGTAATTATTTCTCATTTTCTTTGTAACTGGTATGCATGCAAACTTAAGTTCAAGTACTGATAATGATATGATACGATGTGCAAATTTATCCAATTAGACAATAGAGTCCCAGTAAAATATTTTGTTGACATTTGAGTAAAGATTGGCAATTGATTATAATGTAATGCTTAGATTTAAAATATCAGCGGTTTTGATAGGTTTTATCGCACTGTCGTATATCGTCATCGCACTACCGCATTGTCTCATTATTGTACCGTCGTCATCGCGTTATCGCACTGTCGTCATCACACTATCGCATTGTTGCCATCACACTATCGCATTGTTCCCATCACACTATCGCATTGTCGCATTAATGTACTGTCGTTATCGCACTGTTGCCATCGCACTATTTCATTGACGTCATCGCACTGTCGTATTGTCGTAATCGCACTATCAACTGATGCATTGTCGCTCTCTGGATTATAAAGTATAACCTCGATGGCCCTAGCGGTATTCCGTAATACATAATGTACGGTTTACATTGATATCTATAAATTCACTTAAAAAGTGGACTTTTAATCGACATGTTGGAATAACCTTAGTCAACAACTCCCTGCAATGAATTACTATTTTGACTACTTGTTTTGTTTCTTAGGGAATATTAGACCGAAATACCGTTTCCGTTCTGTGTTTTCTTACTATTGTGTTGAGTGACCTTATCAGAACTTTGACGGAAAGGGCCAAGAAGTTGCCTTTGTCCTACCTCGCTTAATCTTATACCTCATATTAGGCGTTTTTTGACGTTTTTTTCACCCCCCCCCCCTTTGAGGCCACAAATAGTGAAAAAAAGCCCTAGGTAGGCCCCAAAACTGTTTTTAGTTTGAGAAATGTTGTTAAAAAAGTGATCACTTTTTCGGCGCCGCCCCTATCAAAAAGGTACGTCAAGGGGGTGTCAGAGGGTGAAATTTTGGACATGTAAGGGGCTAGAATTGCCTCAGGTTGATCTAAATGGAACATGTTACCAACACTGAAAAGCCTTTGACTCTATCCCAATCCATTGAGAAGTTGCATCACTTTCAAATCAGTTTTGATGGGGAAAAATAACGCAAAGTGGTGATTTTTGGCAATTTTGAGACGTCCCCCCGTTGCCATGGTAACATGAAATTTTAGATTGAGCATACATAGGCTATGGTCCAGTCAAGATTTGTGCCAAGTTTGATCTGAATTGAAGCATTTTTATAGTTTTAAAGCAGTTTGAACTTGTAACAGGAGGCTTTTCAAAGAAAACAACCATTTTTGCAATATGTTCATGACTTAAATGGTCTTTCAAACTGGAAAACAATTTATCAATTTTTGCTTAAAATTGAAAATATGTTCTGACTAAATAGCATAACATTGCATACCGTGACCAGACGGCCTGGATATAAACCATTTATGTAATCGCATCATCTCGGCCCTTTCCGTCAAACTTTGAATAAAAACCTCGAATACCACTTTTGCTGAGTCAAAGAATGAATAGTCACAAATTTGACATTAAACACTTTCCTGACACTATTACCAATGTATCTGAACATTTTAATTCTGAAGGACATTCTATCAAAGATTTTCCATTCATGCCAATTGATAAAGATTATCAAAAGAAACTTCATGGATGTATAAGCTAGGTACAATTATTCTTGATGGCGTGAATTCCAAAATACTTTATTAATTTTGTAGATTATAATTCTTCATTTTAATATTATTTTATTAAAAAAATGTATTTTCTAATTTTTACTTATGACTTAAAACTAATTTCATGTCAATATGTAGTTCATGCTGGTTTTCTAATTTTATATTCATTTACACACATTTATCTATAGTGCAGTTTTATGACTGTATACATAATTCTACCTCACATGACTATCTACGCCTACTTCACATGACTGTCTACGCCTATTTTACATGAACGTATACGCTTACACCACATGACAGTGTAAGCCTACTTCACATTACTATATATGTCTACTTCACATAACTGTATACATATAATTCACATAATTCACATCGCTGTTTACGCCTCCTTTACATGACTGTATACCTATACTTCACATAATTCACATGGCTATTTACGCTGCTTCACATGGCTGTATACATTTACTTCACATGGCTCTATAGATCTGACCAAAGACTATTGTATATTATACATGTATATGCTACTGTATATTATTGGATCAGATCGAAAGTGGTGCAAAAACATTCGCAGACGAACTCTTTTCCATTGATTCATTACTCACCAATTTAGTACAAATGTTGTATGTATATTATATGACCTGTTTGAAATTGACATGTCTCATTAAAAAAACGAATTTAAATGAAAAAGAAAAAAACATACGTTAAGTGTTTTGTCAGACTGAAATGCCTGCTAAATCAATTTAAAATCATTTGCTATTGCTAAATAGTCGTGTAAATAATTCTTAAATGTGTCTTTAAAGAAGAATATTACTTAAGGCCATTATCAAAACAACCAAAATTGAATGCATTGGATTTTACCAGTCACTGAACAGATTGAAAAGTATTATTAATGTTATTATATTTGAAATTCTGATTTTCCATTTGCCAGATTTTTAACAATTTCGGCTCAATTTTGTACTTTTTTGTATTTTCTTTCATTGCTATTTATTCGGTCATTAATCACTTTAATTATCGTCTGCATGTTCCAGTTTGACACATAATTATTTACATTGCAAGTACTTCCGTTGAAAACGGATGTTCACTTTTTGACTATTCAACAAAAAGATATTTTATACACGAAAAGCACACCAGGGTGCGAACAACTAAATTTTATGGGTGTCAAAGTTCTCCAGAGAAGAAACTGATGTCCTGTAGGGGTTTAACTTCGAAAATAAGAATGAATCGAGAAAAAATGGCGGCCATTTTATTTCATTTTATTGAGAAAATAGACCACGTGACCAGATATTATACTGTTAAAAAATACTGTTACCTATGTAACAGTACAAAATTCTTAGTCACGTGGTACACTTGCATTAACAGTAAAAACAACTCCCAGAGGCCTATGGGAAATTAACATTACGAAAAAAGTGAGAACTATACGATGTCACGTTGATATCATTAACATGACAGTTTGAATTATCATTAACTCTATATTTCTAAGCATGCTTTATTATTGATACATTTAATGATTAAAAAAATAAATAAGGAGGGAGATGTTTTTATATTGATCATTACAACACAGACTTTAGTTGCTAATAAGCTCCGCCTTCATAGCATGCTACATGTTCCATCAGTTACTTGTGTTTTAAATCTTGGAATATTAAGACGCGTTCTTGTTGTCTTTTCCTGGTGAAATAATACGGTTGTATAGTTTACGTGGGCATCTCATTTGAGATATAATATTCTTAATAATATACTTGTCACCCAAAAACATTTATAACATACAACATAAGCTAAACAATTTTTCTCCATAACTTTTGGTAAAGATCACGTCACTTTACAACTAGAAATCGTGATTACATTAGATTGTATCAATCATTCTATCCTATAATATTTATGAAAATTATAAATTACCATCCGGACTGATTCGAAATAAACTTCCTCACCGGACACACAAGTTCAAGTAGGTCCATTGTTGTATTTATAAAAACAAATCGCCCTGGTCCATAATAAACAAGGTTCGACAGGTACAGTCAGTTGCGGATATATTTCTTCTTGATATAGTAGTTTGATATAATATTATTATATATAAGTATATTAAACATGGCTAACTCACATCAGAGTTGGATAATTCATATCTTTTCTATGGCTATATTTTTAGCAAGTGTGCATCTAGGATGTGAAGGTAAGGAAAATCGAGATCTTTTCTATTAATTTTGTCAATGAGCGATAGAAAAACAAAATTTCTGAATGCCTTTGTAAATGAATTTGAATTTCAGTAAACATTGCAAGATGTTGTAATGTATCAGTATCGTTTTTTCTAAAACTAAATATTTGTGGTCATGTCAAGTCAAACATTTAATTGGTAAAAAATACAAATGTTTATTGCCAAGTTAACCTTGTGGATATAACATATTTATAACACATAGATGATAGATATGACATTAAATAACTACTAGAAATGTTGAAAATACTCTATGTTTCAAACTTTGACTTATGCTGCCTTGTTCTATATTTTTACTCAGAATATGCGTTTTAAGAACATTGATATACGTACATTTTCATCTAACTTGGCAATTTGATTTTCATGAACACTTAAAATATACGTACCGGAACCGGATATAAAATGTATAACTACACTCTAGTGTCACATTTTCAATAAATATAAGTTTCAATTTAAAAAAAATTGTATCTATACATCAAAACAAATAAGTTGTAAAACTCCAAATCTTGCCATTCCGTATATCTGATATCAAAAAGTGAAATTTGTCTTACTAGTAATCATACATATTTGAGCCGCGTCATGACAAAACCAACGTAATGCGTTTTCGACCAGCATGGATCCAGACCAGCCTGCGCATCTGCGCAGTCTGATCAGGATCCACGCTGTCCGCTTACAAACCCTATAACAAGTAGAGAAACTGATAGCGAACAGCATGTATCCTGATCAGACTGCGCGGATGCGCAGGCTGGTCTGGATCCATGCTGGTCGCAAACCCATTATGTTGGTTTTGTCATCACGCGGCTAATTTGATTTTATGCTTAAATACAGGTGATAGCAGTTCCGAGTATAAGCGGGTATGCTATTACACAAACTGGTCTCAGTACCGTCCTGGACAGGGTAAATACACGCCAGAAAACATCGATGCCAAGCTATGTACGCATATCATCTATGCTTTTGCCAAAGTCGTCAACAGTGAATTGAAAACAGTTGAATGGAACGATAAACAAATGTTAGATTTGGTTGTACTTTATTACATTTTCATGATCTGATTTGTCTACGTTTCATATACAATGTATCTCGTCTTACTTGCTGTATTAGAGCTTATTCTAACTCTGTAGATAAAGCTGTTTTGATTCAAACACTAATCTTAGAATTGTGTCGATTTTTACTCGAAAATAGCATCATCAGCTATTTTGTCAACCATTTTCCTATCATTCGAATATATAATGATACATATATTTATATATTCAAATATAAAAGAGAAACACGTTTTTTTTATTTCAACTTAAGAAGCTTATGAAAAGATCTTACACTTCCTTGATAAAATTAATTACATGTACGTTACCTTAAAGGTTTCAGAAACTACAGCAACTAAAAGTTTCTAACCCGCGTCTCAAAACACTTATTGCTGTTGGTGGATGGAACGCTGCAAGTACCGAGTTCACAAGGATGGTATCGAAAAGACAAAACCGACAGAAATTTATTGAATCATCCGTTTCTTTTCTACAAACATTTGGTTTTAACGGCCTTGACCTTGACTGGGAGTATCCAACGAAACGTGGCGGAAAACCAGATGATAAGAAGAACTTCGCCCGTTTAGTTAAAGTAAGTTTTTAAAATTGTAGAATGCTTAAAAGTATATATAGTTTAAATATAAACTAAATGTGTATGAGAGATTTACTTCGTGAATACATTTCTGTTATTTCAGGAAATGAAGGGGAAATTTAATATGAATGGATATTTACTGACAGCGGCAGTACCAGCGGGTAAAAAGAACATTGATGATGGATATAAAGTTAAATCACTTGCAAAGTATGTGATAAATTAATAAAGTAAATGTATAGGCATATGTAATTGACATTAAAAATCGTGTTCGCTTCCTTCTTCAACGTAATAATTTTATATTTTTCTGGTCCTCGGAATCATTGATTGATTTATAGGGGCGTGAGGAATGTTGCACTTTATAATTTTCCCCCATGTACAGATTCAATCAAAACCGAGTCTCCAGTTTTAATATCAGTGTTTCCGAGGGACAATTTTTTTCTAGATTTTGATGACTTACATTTATACTTTAATACATTTACATTTATAATATATTTATATAGATACTTAGATTCTCTATCACATTTTAACCTGATATAAATCAAAACTTTATTTCTTTCTATTTTATCGCCACATCAACGTTGTTTGTGTCGTGTGGAGACCGTAAAATGTTCCCCGTAAATTTAATCAGTGATGTTATTTTTCCGACCCTTGAAGATCGTTCGGCACGCCATTATTGCTATGTCTGTAGTACTTTTATTTGGCTTTTTTCTAGTTTGTTGGTTCCAGCATTCCTTTATTGAATACTGTTTCACCCTCAGGAAATGTGGCCTAGCTGCTTTTTAAATTTGTCTTTGACAGCTTATCAGTGATATGCAGGCTTCATAACCTCTGCTCCCCTTTTCAAAATTCTATTTTATTTGGTTAAACCTATTGTTTTCCCGTTTAGGGCACACACATTCTTTTACTTTGGGACAATACGTCGCGTTTCATGAAATGGAACTAGCGTGTCACATTAAAGTACCTATGATAACCGCCGTACCAACACATTTGCAGATATTTCAAAATTCACGTGGCTTGCACTTTCCAGTATTATCCATAAACAGGCTCAATCAAACCAAGCCTGCAACATTTTTATGCCCCGAAGGGAGGCTTGTTTAAATCGTTAAAAGTCTGTCTGTCCATTTGTTTGCGCGTCCCCACTTCATTCTTGTCCGGACCGTAACTTTGTCATACCATTTTGGCACAAATGTCTACCACATCAAGACGATGTGTCGCGTCCAAGAACCACGTACGTTCCTACCTCAAAGGTCAAGGTCACACTTACTTTTTGAGGTTTCACATTATTACAAATAGAGTTAATAGGTACACACATTCGTGACCGGACTGTAACTTTGTCATGCATGGAAGGCTTTCAAAATAACTAGGCATAAATGTCTTCCACATCAAGACGATGTGTCGCGTCCAAGAAATACGTTTCTACCTCAAAGGTCAAGATGACACTACCATTTTGGAGTTCACTTTATCACAATACGAGTTTATAGGTACACACATTTGTGTCTGGACAGTAACTTTATCACGCATCGAAGGCTTTTAGAATAATTAATAATAAATGCCTATCAAGACGATGTGGCACGTCAAAGAATCACGTACCGACCTTAAAGGTCAAGGTCACAGTACCATTTTGAAGTTCACTCTATCGCCATTACAGTTTATAGATACACACATTGGTGTCCGGGCTGCCACTTTGTAATGCATTGAATAATTTTAAAATAACTATGCATAAATGTCAACCACAACCAGATTAAGACGACATGTCACATTCAAGACCCCTGTCCCTACCTTCAAGGTTAAGGTCATACTTATAGTTTGAAGGTACTTATTCTCTCGAGAAGAGTTTGAAGATACACATTTATGTCCGGACTGTAACTTTGTCATGCATAGTACCACAGTACCATTTTGATGTTCACTTTATCGCCATTAGAGTATATAGATATACACATTGGTGTCCGGGCTGCCACTTTGTAATGCATTGAAGGATTTTAAAATAACTTGGCACAAATGTCTACCATATCAATACGATGTGTCGTGGCTAAGGCTCATGACGGTTTGTCCGTCCCAACTTACACAACAAGCATTTCCATACTAACTTTTTGCTGCATTGAGGGATTTTTAAATAACTATGCACAAATGTCTACCACATGGCAATATTGTGTTGCGTCCAAAATGTCAAGGTCAATGTCACACTTATATTCTGAAGGTTCACGCTATCACAATTAGAGATTATAGGTTCACACATTTGTTTCCAGACTATTACTTTGTCATGCATCGAAGGATTTTAAAATAACTTGGCACACATGTCTACCACATAAAGATGACGTGTTGTGTGTAAGACCCATGCATGTTCCTACCTCCAAAGTCAAGGTCACTCTAATAGTTTGAAGGTACACATTAGTTTCCAAACTGTAACATTGTCATGCATTGACGAATTTTAAAATAACTTGGCCACATCAAGATATTTTGTCGCATCAAAGACCCTTGTCCCAAGGTGTTAAGTTTGCTTTCAATAGCACAACATTTCACAAGAAAAATATAAAGCAATTAGGTACTTTCATTCCCTTTTCTTTTCATAATACCTGTATACTTAAGAAACCGTTTCGGGGGCATTCGTCACTTGCGTGACAGCTCTTCTGTTTAATTATGCCGTTTTGATGTTCTTTTGGGATTCTTTATTTCTCTCTAGTTTAGTTTCTTTGAGCTAGAGCAATTTACTATTTCATTCACACTTTTGTAATATTTCACACTTTTTTGTGTTATTTCAGGAATCTAGACTTTATAAATTTAATGTCTTATGATCTTCATGGATCCTGGGAGAAAACAACGGGAGAGAATTCCCCTCTGTATCCTAGGAAGAAAGAGTCAGGTGAAAGTCGACAATTAAACATGGTACAGTTATTCACCTTAACTGCATTTTTGCACAATAACAAACTTTATGTTGATACACAAGACTAATATAACATGTATACAATACTTGTTGAAATTTAAGTTTTGATCATTGAATAACATGTAACATATTTGTTGTATTGAACGTCTTATTTCAAAATCTTAAAGAATTGGGCAGCGCAATACTGGACGAGAAAAGGAGTTCCTAAAAACAAACTTATTATTGGCATGGCAACGTACGGACGCTCCTTTACACTTACAAACCCCGCACAGAATACAATTGGAGCCCCAACTAGAGGAGCAGGTCAAGCGGGGAAGTTCACCAGATCCGCTGGTTTCCTTTCATATTACGAGGTATTTTCTCAATTCATGACAAGAAAACAATTATTTTGAAGAGATTGTATTGAATGGAAATCGATTATCTTGAAACTTTGTGTCACCTTGTGGAAACTTGTGTCACATTGCAGGTTCCATGGTCTGCTTTAGCCGGTGCCAGGGGTGCTTGGACAGATGCTTGCAATAACCATTACCGTCAATAAACATGCTCAATCAAACTGAATCTGCAACATTTTTATTTACGTTATATACGTTCGTCAGAGATTCCGTTTATTCTAATTTATTGACAGGAGAAACCAAATAAAATATATACATATAAAACGCATGTCTGTGTCTATGTTTTCTATTCTTCTGGTCCTTCCGGGCTTAAACAAAGGGACGTGAGAGTTGTGGTAATTCCAAGGATATTTCATAAATAGACTCAGTTAAAACCGATAATGCGATTTTAACTTATTGTTTTGTTGCCATTTGCCTCAAATTATCTAGACTGTTAAAACGCACAACAGCAGGTTGTTAAGTAATTTGTGGTAGATGTGATAGGTTTCCCCCGATAACCTGTTAAAGGAAATTTCTTCCCTTACCTCTCGTTCTATTTAATGAAATTTGACCTGATGTTTTAATTCCATTTCTATAGCAAAACGAAAATGATAGTTTTAATTGAGATTTTGAAAACGTATTTTCGTTTAGATTTGCCAGATGCAGGAAACTGGACATGGTCAAGAGTATTGGGACGATGAACAAAAAGTACCTTACTTCGTCGACGGATCGCTTTGGGTTGGGTATGACAATGTGAGGAGTATCACGGAAAAGGTACTACTAGTATCTTAAACATGTCATTTAAAAGATCTCTATATCATTTGTAAGATATGATAATCATTCAGACTTAACTAAAATATAGACACGATCTTGTAAGATCAGAAATAACACACAGATATTCAATGCTGAAATGCTAAAGTAAACTGGTTTATCTATGGAGATTCTCAGAGATGGGTCAGTAGTGATATTTAATCAATCATTCTTTAGTACGTTTAGGTTAACGTTCTTTATTTTTAAAAAAACAGGTCAAGTGGTTAAAGGACCAGGGTTTCGGTGGTGCTATGATATGGTCATTGGACCTTGATGACTTCAAAAATACGTGCAGGTCTTCGGGGCGGCCATATCCGCTTCTCGGTGTGATATATGACCTTTTAACATCCGGTAAGGTTAAAACCACAACACCTTCAAGCAAAGGAACAACATCACAAAATCGAACAACATCACATACGACTCGCCCAAAAACATCAACAACTTTGCCAACAAGGTCAACGACACATCATGGGAAAGGTAAAATGTTATTTGAAAATTCTTTCTCTGTACATTTCTTGTTCTATGTGAAATTCAAACCTTTTTTGGCTAAAGACTTTGCTTTTAATGACATATTTTCCTTTAAATATTTACAGAGTTTCGATGTACTTCAAGAACAGACGGATTCTACCCTGACCCAGTGTCTTGTCGTCATTTCTACAGATGTGTCGACCATTTTGCTTTTCATTACATATGTCCAAGTAACTTGTACTTCAATCCCAAACTGCAACTCTGTGACTGGCCAGACAACGTGGACTGTAAAAACGACAAGGACTTTTGAAATTGAATATCTAACTGGAGACACATTCCGTTTCTGCTTTTATTGTTTATAAATATTTAAACTGAAATATAATTATGTTCCTTTTTTTGTATAGAAACTTCACAGATTATAAGTCGTATCTTTGACACATCGTAAATTTCTGATTTGCTGAATTAACCATATCACTTTACACGTCTTAACGTTGATCAGAGTTTCTTATGAAAAGTCCGTCGCAAGACATGTTTCGTTTAGTATTATTTGTCTGTTTGTTTTTGGTTTGTTTTTTTTTTGGGGGGGGGTTTGGGGGGGTTTTTGGTTGTTTTTTGGGGGGGGGGGGTGGTGTTGTTGTTTTCACATTTATCTCTATAGTTTCAAAGCATATGCATTGTCCGCCCAAAACTAAAGAAAACAAAAGTTGTAAAGGTACAGATTATTTGGGGCTTGTTTATGAGAAATGAGAAGACAATAGGCTATAATTTTGGACCAGCTAATTCCTAAATCAGGATAAGTATGAATGAGTTTCTTGTCAATCATTAAGTTATTTCATGAGACAATATCTCAATTTCTCTTTGATCTAGTTTCATTTTGAATGATATTATCATTTATTTGATTGACACGTTATTTGTCATCAAAATACTTATACATGTATAACTAAAGTAAGACTATAAAGATGTAAGTATCTTGGAACATGAAAAAATAAACATGAAATTAAATATGTTAAATTCATATTGGCCATCTCATAAATAATTATTTTGGAATGAAATCCGGATACAATTGATCACGTTTAGATGTGTAACGTCTTTGAATTAAAACGTCTACAATGTGAACAGTTGAGAAAATAACATTTGTTTCATTTTTGTCATTTTTATTGTTGAAGATAACAATCCACAAACGTGTATTATCAAAGAGATATGAACAACAAAATACAATATACATAAATGTTCAACTTAACTGATAATTATAAGTGTTAGTCAAAGTATAATTCTATTAAAATAGAGAACATAAGAATGTCTATTAATGTCTATTAAGTCATTATATTTTGAAAACTAAATATGTTAAGCAATACGTTACAATACATTTTTATGTACAAATAGGGAACATATAAGAACTAGTAAGCAGTTGAAGAAATAATGTTGATGAACTTTAAGGCTTAAACATCCAGTCATAATACTGTGTTGTATTCAAACTTACACGCAAAAATCATTCCTTCAGACGGGAATATATTTGGGCGAGTATTTGGCTTTATAAACAATATGCCGACCCGCTAGACTTATACATCCCGTCTGGTGTTGTGTTCAACACTCAAAGACATGACAAATATTCAACTAAAGTTCAGAGTGAATGGCAATAATTAAGATTTCAATCACTATAAAGATCTCACTTATTTTGTACAGCGTCACCAATCAACATTAGTCTGTAGCTTTATACAGCCTCGTAGTTGGCAGCAATATTCTTTCTTCCCAATTTATCATTTATTGTGTGTTTAAAGTGTTCCTTTGCATCAGGTGTGTCACTCCATTCAACAATTTGGTTTCTCTTCATCGTATGGGAGATGCGTTTTGGAATCTTGTCTGGCAACCCTTTTTCAATATGGACAACAATGATTTCCTCAAGCTTATTGTCATTATCATACATTTGCACAGTGGCAAGATCTAGCTCCCAAAGATGCATTGGACTTTGCAAATAGTTTCGGCTGAGGACAACGATAACTTTGCGACTGACTATCATATTTTCATAAATGTTACCAGCAACTGAACGACCTGAAAAAAGACAATAATTAACTGTTAAATTGTTATCTGAAATAGGATATTCTCTTTACGTTAATAATGACTATGATGTTGTATATAACGGTACTGTTTCATTCATTAAAGTTTCACTCGAAGATGAAGATTAACAGGAGTAACTGTGAGTTTAACTATATTTTGTGCAATGTACACTAAGAGGAAAAAAATCTGGAAAAACGGTTATAATTCGGAAGCATTAGTTACAACAAAATTGCATGAAAAATGCAGAATTTGTTTGAATGAGTCTCTACATGAGGAATAATGAAAAAATGCACCATCCCTCACGCATCCTAGCCCCGGATACAGGGTGATCCAACATATCTAATACTGTTTTGAAGTTGAATAAATAAGGCATTCCTGGTGCAATTATTAAGTGTTATATACCATTGTAAAGAGAATTGTCATAAGTTTCTGTCATAATTAATTTACGGGAAAACGTTAACGTCATGACGTCATAGATGACGTCATCAAATAATAGTTGTTTTTCAAGATGGCGACGTCACAACAGAAAGCTGCAGTAAAAGTTAAACTTTATTTTGAGACTAAGTCTCCAGTTATTGTTATTCTCATGATGCAGAAAAAATATCCTGATGATGACAGACTCAAAAAGCTTCAAGTGCATAGGCTTGTAAATAGATTTAAGCAGACAGGGTCAGTTGAGGATAGCCGACCCAACAACAGTGGACGACCAAGATCAAGCCGCAGTTTAGAGAACGTGGCAGAGATCCAGCAAGTGATTCAGGAGACACCACAAAATTCTGTAAGAAAAGTTCTTGGAGACATTACCAGTAAGTCTAGTTATGGAAGTGTACATAGGGCATTGCGTTTTGATTTGAATTTGTTTCCCTATTCGTTATCGATTATGCAACATTTGAAAGAAACAGACATTAACAGCAGATTAGAGTTTGCTCGTTGGAAGATTGATAATGTAACCACAATTGATAAAATATGGTTTTCAGACGAATCACATTTTTATTTAAATGCCGCTGTAAACAAGCAGAAATGTCGAGTTTGGAGTAAAGAGAAACCAACATTCTACTTAGAAAAGCCTCTTCATGATGACAAGGTGACAGTATGGGCAGCGTTGAGTTCGACTGGTGTGATTGGACCATTCTTTTTTGAATCGAAAGGTGAAACCAAAACAATGAATAGTGAGCGATATCTTTCTCTCTTGAAGACAAAATTTCTGCCAGCCTTACGAAGAAAAGGTATTAACATTAATACAATATGGTTTCAGCAAGATGGAGCGGCACCACACACTGGGGGACACGTGTTGGAATGGTTGAAAGAAACATTTGGCAGAAAATTTATCTCATTTAAATCAGACAAAGTATGGCCTCCACACTCACCTGATCTAAGTCCGTTAGATTTTTTTCTATGGGGACACTTAAAAGACAATGTTTACAATCCAAAGCCAGACACCCTTGAGCAGCTAAAGTCAGCCATTCGCAGAGAAATAAGAAAAATTACACCTGCAATGTGTGTTAACGCTATTGAAAATTTTAAAAAGAGACTTGACGTCGTAGTAGCACAAAATGGACGTCATATTGAACATTTGATGTAAATTTTGTTTGGTGAAATTCATTTTTAGTTTTTTATTAAACAGAATGACTTTAATGTTAAATAAAACTTTAAAATCTCTAGTTTAAATATGTGTGTTGATATTTAAAATCGTGTGATATATGTAAAACATACAAGAAGCTGAAATGATATCAGATATTTTGGATCACCCTGTATATATAGTGGTACTTAATTTTTCAACATTTAAACAGTTCTGGAATCAATATTCCCGAAGGATCAGAAAAATATGAAACACTGAACTCAAACTGTACAGGGCAACTTTTTTGCAGCTGCAACATAGCACTTGACACCTGCTGTTCTGAAGTATAAAAATCTTGAAAAAGGGTGATCCTTAAAAGCATTAATCACCACAAAAAACACATTGCACCCTAGCTGAGGGGGCTATATATGATTTTACCCCAAAGTACGTCATACATCGAATATTTCATGCTCCATGTTATATGGTTTCAAGTCTATATTCAAAACAATCTTTTAATAGCGTCAGTTCTTAAATACTTTACCTGGTTCTGAATCCCTGTCTTCGAAATAAAGACAGAATTGTCCGCCAAAAACGTGTTCATCGTCTTTCTTTCCTTGATCAACGCCAGGGAGAAGATTATCAAGAACCCATTGCTTGTCTTCTTCTGCGCATGAGACGTAGGCGTCAAATCCTTCCTCATTATTAATAGCTCCATAACCACCACGTCCGTCGGCAGCCCCGTGTTTTCGTGGTTCTCGTCTTCTTCTAAGTTTATAAAAATATAACTTAAGCGGCCAACGTTTTCGGTACAACAACCCGGAAATGATGATGACAAAAACAGCTGCAACTGCACACCCAATCATGATGTACCACCATTTTATTATAATGCAGTTTATTTTGTTCCTGTTGAATGAAAGCAGTTTCTTACCCTGCCAGTCATCTGGACTGTAACATCGGTAAGTGTCATTTTTAGCAAGATCAACTGTTGTAGAATTGATCCAGTCGCGGAACCACCGTAAATCACAATTACAACTAAACGGGTTTCCGGTAAGGTTTAAACTTTTCAATGTACTTAGATCTTTTAGATTTTCTTTCTTCAGCGTAGCGATAAGATTGTTTGTAAGGTCTAAAACTTGTAGTTTTGACATTGATTTAAATAGATTAGGACCCCATCCTTTAATTTTGTTGTCAGTCAGATTTAAGAAAACAAGTGACTCCAGATTTTGAAACGTAGCATCTGGAACGGCATAAAGTTTGTTATCCATCAAATTCAGTTCCCGAAGTTTTACAAGTCCTTTTAATAATCTGCCTCCAAAGTCTTCAGCTAATAAGTTGCTAAGCGAGTTATGTTCTAAATGCAAATACTTCAAAGAAAGTGTAAACTGAAATAAGTCAGGCTGTATATATCTCAAGTTGTTATTGGCTAGATTTAGGTATACGAGCGAACCCAAAGCTGAAAATCTACCTTTAGAGTACTGAATTTCCACCAAGTTATTTTTCTCGAGATCTAAAGATATCAAACGTGATAGAGGACTGAATACCTTTCCTGGCAGTATTGCAATGTTATTATCATATAATGATAATTTGGTAAGTTGAACTAGACCACGGAATGAGTCTTGTTCTAGTGTTAGAACCGTGTTGTAACGTATTCGTAGTTCTTGAAGTGATGTCAAATTGTAGAACGATTTGTCTGGAATGGTCGTTATTTCATTGTCATCCATGTAAAGGCTTGTTAAACTTGTCGGTAAATTTGTTGGCACATTCTTCAGTTTATTTCTATTCAATATCAGTACTGCTAATTTATCTAAACCTATAAATGATTGTGGAGACGTCTCCATTATCTCACATTGCGTCAAGTCTAGGACATGAAGCTTGTTCAGTCCAAAAAAGACGCGATCTGGTAATTTAACGATTTTATTAGAGCGCATACTCAATGTTGTTATTGAAGTGTTCTTCAAAAGTTCAAAAGTGTTTTCAGGAAGGACTCCATTCAGTTGAATACCTGATATATCAAGAGAAGCCATGTTCTTCCCTTTCAGACTCCCAATGGTTGTTCGTAGCACCGGTGCACTTAATGGATTTGAGCCAATTCTAAGTGACGTTATAGAACCAGGCGGATAAAATGTTCCAGTGCCAACTTCTGAAAGTTTGTTTTTTGTTAAGACTAAACTTGATAATGATTTATTGCGCAGAGTCTCAAAGGTGTGGTTACTTATGATTTTGATGTTGTTACCACTAAGTCCAATGTACAGTGGCATCTGGATTGTTGAAAAACATGAAGGGAAAGTGGCATTCGATATATTATTTGCATCTAGAATAAGTTTCTTCAGATTTTGTACTTTTCCTAGTTCTGGTATAGCAGTTAGTGCGTTCGCCTGTAAATATAGGTAAGCTAGGCGTTCAGTTCCGCTAAAAGCTGATTTGTTTATTCTTTGTATTCGGTTGGTTAAAAGATAAAGCGTTTGCAAGCTCTGCATGTCTGAAAATGCATTCTTTCCTATTTCGAATAATTTATTTTCACGGAGATCGAGATAAACAAGACTTGAGAGGTTTTTAAATGCATACGGCTGTATGATATTTATCTTGTTATGATCAAGTTGCAGACGCTCTAACACTGGAAACGAAGCAAACGCACCCGTAGTTATGTTAGTCAGCTCATTGTAGCCTAAGAAGAGCTTTACAACCCATGTTGGAATTTTGTCAGGAATAGTTGTCAAATGTCTTCCTTCACAATTCACTGATGTCTTGTCTTTGTTGCAGAAACACATTGGTAATCCTGGGCAAGTGTTATCTGTCTTGACAGTTGTAAGACCAAGAAGGAGAAGTACCATGCGATTCATACTGACCTGCAATGAAATGTTGATTTTCTTATATACTTTTATCAATACATCATTAAAACATAACGTATTTCAAAAAGAGCTTGCAAAAACAAACAATAATGTATACATTCAATTCATACTATAGCTCCAGTTGCGCCTTAAAGACGTTTCCAGAGAAGTGCGACTTTTAACAAAAGCAAAGAAAGAATATTTAAGACTCTATAGGACCGGTAGGTCTCTTTAAAATTGCAAAACATTCTCTACGCTTGTTTACATTTTCCTTCCTTGCCTACATAATATTAAAGTACTTGTAACTTTTGATGGAATGCGATTTGCGAATTGTTAATAGTTTTGGTTCGCGCTCGAGCAACTGTTTTAGGGAAAAGGTTCACTAGATTTATACATAGTTGATAGATCGGTGATTGACACAGCTTATCATTTTGTTCCATTATAGTATATGGACTTCAACATTGTCATCGTATCAGATACCTTATCACCTCCAATATAGACAAAATACGACTTACCAAAATGTGGTATGTAAGGTAAGTAAAACTCCTGAAGATTTACAAATAGCTTAGATCTTTTGCACACATGTTGCTATAAATGGGGATTAGAAATTAATACCATTAAAACTAAAATTGTTGTCTTCAGAAAAAAAATGCGTATTTCGATTTTGATTTTTATCCCTTTAAAGGGATTCCACTGAGGTATTTTGACATGATGGGACTGAAAATATTTTTTCCACATAAATGTAAAATTTGATGTAGGTTTAGACCACTAATCTTTGTGCAAAATTTCAGATCATTCGCGCACTTCGTTTTTCCAGAATAATTATTCAAATTGTAAAAAAATGACCCAAAAAGAAAAGCGTTTAAACGCTTTTCACTCAAATCGGTCCAAGAAAATCATTAAAATACGATTTTCAATTTATTTCATATTATATTTCTTAACTATCTTTGCATATATTTCTGTTAAAAGTGCCCCAGCTCATTTATGTCAGAAATTCAAATGTTATGTTTAAGGCTTTTAAACCTCAGTAGAGTCCCTTAAGTTAAGGTAAAAAGAAACTGGGTGAAAATGTTAAAGAGATGCTTGAAACGTATGATAATTTATTTCATTCAGATTCACTAGACTTGACTGAAAGCCAATGATTCAAACATATACAAAACTCTATGGCTAACAGTTTTTATCATGTGGCTTTCGATATTAAGTCTATACTTGTGCTTTGCCAATATTTCAAATATATACATGGTTTATCCGAATAGATCATTATTTATAAATATTGTTGACAGGTTATATGACCATAATAAACGGATGTTTGTAAATATAACCCGAGCCGCTAGGCGAAGGGTTATATTGCAAACAGCCGTATATATACGGCCATATAACCTGTCAGCAATCTTTATAACGAATTTATAATACAGCAAACATCATTTTTTAGAGAAAAAAGTAAGATTTCTTCATGAATCGACAACAACCGTGTATATAAAACTACATAAACGTCTCGATTATCCAATGAAAAATGACGTTACAAACGTGAAGTATTATAAAAAAATCTATGTAAACGTCACGATTATCCAATGAAAAGCGACGTTACAAACGTGCAGTTTTATAAAAAAAAAACTTTATAAACGTCACGATTATCCAATGAAAAGCGACATTACAAACGTACAGTATTATAAATTTGAAAATAATATGGCAGATAGTAAATTATTTCCAAACCTATTTTAAGTTATTATATACGGCATTCATGTAGAAAATAATGCTGTTTTTGAAATGGAAAACACTGTATTCGTACGAAAACTATCTTTATATATGACTTCAAGATTTTAGATTTAATATCACAAGAATTTAAATTTCTGCATATACACCAATTAAGAGTCCATTAAACGGCAGATATGGTTAAAATAGAAATCCGCGGAGTGAAAGATATTATATATGCTGTAATACTACATGGATTGAGAAGACGAAAAACACTTACATGTATTTTGTTTTCATATGTACAGGTTATGTTGACATAAGGGTAAAAATATGTTAAACAATATTTATGTAATAGACCATCTATGCTGAATTTATTGATCTGATTTCTTTTGACAACAAAATTTTACATGCACAAGTTTACACTGTCTATTTGTTACTACAAACAACTGAAGTTTGATATTTGATAATTTTGTTACGAATTAACACTCAAAATCAAATGATTTCTTATATCAAATATGTTAATACTCTACCAAATTGTTTTATGCTGTAGTGATAAGTTTTTTTCCTTAAAAACCATTGTTGTTCACTCTCAATATATCTCATAATGAAACCCAATTAATGCTATATCAAATTCTATATTAATTTATATTGAACATAAACGTGACATCTTTACAATTAACTAGTGTATATATATTGTAGTGATGATGTACTAAGTACAAATCCAGAATTAAATTATGTACTAAGATTTTCAATAGATGTAATATATTGATACTATTCTATTTTGAGAAATTTACGCAAACAGTTGACTCGTGTATCATTTCACCTCAAAGTAATATACAATGTACCAAATAAATAAAATCTAGTAAGATATTGTATAGATAAATAGAGAATACCATGCAAGTTTCTGATATAAAACCTATCAGGAAAGGGTTAGAAAAAACAAATGAGCCGTGTCACGACAAAACCAACATAATGGCTTTGCGACCAGCATGGATCCAGACCAGCCTGCGTATCCGCGCAGTATGATCAGGATCCATGTTGTTCGCTTACAAACCCTATTACAAGTAGAGAAACTGATAGCGAACAGCATGGATCCTGATCAGACTGCTGGTCTGGATCCATGCTGGTCGCAAACGCATAACGTTGGTTTTGTCGTGACGCGGCTCAAATGAATGGCGAGGCTCACTTTTAGGGTTTAAACGAGTACAATACGGAAGGTTTTTAGTTAAAACCGGTCAGGAAACTCAATAACCGGTAACCGAGGTAAGTATTAGACAAAGTGTGATTGAAAAAAAAATCTTAACTGTATCCCAAAATAAGACATTTTATATAGACTATTTCATTTCTAACGAAAAATGATTACTTTATAATCAGACTTCAATTGTAATCATTGTTGAGTAAAACAAAATAGGAACAAATGTCTTATCTTGTCATGAAGAAACAAAGTTAACGATTTTTATTGCTATGCTCGGTTAAAAGTTTAACAAGGTTATTAGGTCGCCGTTTTCAAACGTTTATCATTTTTTTGCTATTAATCGTGACACCCCTACTCACTTTATCAAGAGAAATCAATGTCATGATAAAATCTATGACCTAAGGTATTGAGGTACCGGGGTTTTTATTAAGGTATTGATTAAAATTTGACTAGATATTGACATGCATTGTAAATGGAGTTTTTAATCTATTTTTTTTTCTGTCTACCGTGCATTTTTTGTCTACCGTGCATATGAAATATGAAAACAAATTAAAAGCAGACGTCACGTTACTGTATATACTGTACACACAATTGTAAACGTTTCAAAATAATGAAGATATTGATAAACGTAAACCTGCGCGAAGTTATGCATGTAAATGTAAGCTAAAAGAATTTATATGGTTGTGTATATTGTTTGCATACATATTTGTTAACTTAATTATTTTCTATACATAATGTTCATTAAGTACTGTCAATTTATATATTCCCGCACTCATGGTTGAATTTACATACATTTATATTAACTTTAAAATTATAAACGTTTAATACTCACAGCTGAACAATCCAAAAGCGGCACGATCAATGACTTTATATCGTGGGAATTTAGATGACTGGGTAAATTCTGGTTTCCGAAAATGAAAATAGGTTTGCTGGTACCCGTCCGTGTTATACATATTATGTAACAGCTCTTGTGAAACCGGAAACGGGTAAATCGATTAGTCATTGGAATTTGGAATTTACAGTTTTCGAGAAACAATCGTTAAGCATCGGTCATTTCCGTTGAATTCATAAAAAGGTTTTTTATAAATTCTTCACTATTTGAAGGTTAATATTATTCTTGCGTGAAAGTTACACAGTAAATCAAATTCACATATACATATATATAAAGCGATGAGAAAACAATCTGTTGTTTTTTTTTTCAATTTTTGTCTTAAATTGATTTCGCAACGATCGAACAACATATATTTAAAGTTTTGTTTGAATAAAGACATGCGATATTATATAATGCCATAATATATATCAGATATAAAGCATGCAATGTCAATTCATATTCACCTATCACATTCTGTGTCTCTAGATCATTAATTGATTCGTTATTATTGTATTATTCTTTATATCTGTAACAATTACCATTAAAGCCAATTTATTGGATCACTTGTACAGCTTTATGTGCAGCAGCGATTAGATCTTTAAACCAAAAAAAATATATATATACAAAATCAATTAAGAGTATAATATGCCTATTCTTTTTTTTTTCTTTAATAATGTCTGTAAATTGGTTTTGTTACAGCCATATGTATTATATATTAGTAGTGCACATTATGTAGTTGTATCATAGTTTGGGGACCTTTCTGTTGAAAATGTGTCAGAGTTAAATCGTATACATATACATGCACAGTGCGTTAACTGGAGTGCAGGTATAATTAGTTACCCGCACTCCAGAGCATGCCAATTGATTGGCTCATTTTGCCGGGGTTTACTTAATTATTGTGACGGCAGAGAAAGGGAAAGCGACAGAAATGTCATATTTAGAAGCTCGTGCATTGGTTATTTTTCTCCGGGGTTTCATATTGTGACAACAGGGAACGTGTTTTTATGTTTGACTATGATACAAAAGAGAAAGAACATCAAAACACTCGGCAATCTGATTTTACTCGGGGGCTACGCCCCCTCGTATAAATCAGATAGCCTCGTGTTTCGATGCTCTTTCTATTACTTATATAGTGAAATGAATTGCTATAAATTCCGCTGCTATTTTAACCCACATTCCAAATACTTTTGCGAAACGTCCTTAATTTCCATAACATAGCATCCCATATAATATTTATTTGACATATACATTAACAAATTATTGCATTTATTAACACTTATATATTGTATACGATAGCTGCAGGTCGTTATGTTTACGAATGGTCTTTTGACAACCTGGAAATAATAATATATTTAGGGTTTAAAATGTATTTAACTTACATTATTTTATATCTTTCACTGATTTACAGTAAAGTTAACGTGTTAATTGTACGTTTTCTCCATAGATTTACACAACTCGGCACTAAATATTTTGTATAACGTCTGCAGACTCATGTGCTGCAGTATAGTATTCAGTTATGTAAATTGTAACCGCCTCCGTGGTCGAGGGGTTAGAGTCGATGACTTCTTATCCAGTTACCTCTCTGGCGGGGGTTCGATCCCCGGGAGATGCTTTGGTAGTTTAGCGCAGAGGAAGGTAGTCTAGTACTGGTGTAACTCTCCAGGAACGATGGTTAGGAAACTACCCGCCTATATGACTGAAATACTCTTGGGTAAAGGTGTAAAATTAAACAAACAAACATGTAAATTGCTTGTCAATAATACAGATTACATAAATACTTATGCGTAGTATGTAACAAATGTTCTACAAAAAATAACCAATACAGTTCAAAAACAACAACGAAAACACCTCGGCCTAAAACACACACACACACTCCCCAACCCCATCGAAAATCACAATCACCGCCTTATGAGAACATAAAGCTGCGTTCTCACTTACTCCCGGCAGAGCCTAGGACCATCCCGGTAAGTTACCGGGATGATCCGGGACGATCCGGGGTGAAATTATTGTTGCGGTCACACTTACCCCGGCAGCACTACGTACGGTAGTCCCCAACTAACGACCCAGGATGCGCTCCTGATCATCCAGGCAGAGCCCAGGTGTCGTTCCCGGATGACGCCGAAAGAGCCCCCGGTCGATCCAGGCAGAGCCCCGGCAGAACCCAGGACGATCCAGGCAGAGCCCCGGTAGAACCCCGGTGGATTGAAAACGCCCGAAAATGATAACATTGATACATAATTTTTATTTAATATAATATCTATTGAATTTGTTCTAGAATAGTAATTCTTGATGATTTTCTGAAAAATCCTTATGCCATACTGGATAGAAGGGAATTGGGAAGGGTTTTAATACAAACAAGTGCATTCATCGCAAATTGTCGTAATTCTTTTGAAATGATCCGGGCTTTGCCGGGGCTCTACCGGGATCAACCGTAGCTCGACCTTTATCCTCCGGAGCTTTGCCTAGCTGTAGTTACCGGGGCTCTGCCGGCATCTCTACTGGCTATATCCTACCCCGGATCACCCCCGGTTTGTGCCGGCAGAGCTACGTACGGTGCTTCCCCGGTATAACCCCGGTCGTTCCCGGCTGAGCTAAGGATGAAGCCGGCAAAGCTATACCTTCCTTGATCATGCCGGACCTGACCCCGGTGATATTAAATATTTTATTCCATCCGGGGTCGAATGCCGGATGTTCCCGGATCATCCCGGATCATCCCGGACGTTGCCGGCAGAGTTACGGATGTACTAAGGTTGTTGCCGGTCGTACCCCGGTCGTTGCCGGACCACCCCGGACGTCTACCGGGGCTCTGCCGGGGCTCTGCCGGGATGTAAGTGAGACTGTAGCTTTACGGGACCCAAGCGCACATAATTCTCCCTTATTATGATTTTTTATGTTGTGTACTTAACTTACAAGAAGGCATCTAGTTGTTCATGTTTTTATTTATTTGTTCTGGGAGGTTTATCGGGAAGGCGAGACCCTATCCCGCTACTCAGCCCCACAAACAACACCCCATGCATACTTCTTTAGAAAGCGCAAACATGAGTTTTACTATATTCAAATATCAGTACTTGAGCATACTATAGATAAAACTGAAACTGAAACTGTTTTATTTAATTAAACGCCTATTTCTATATACATATTCAATGGCGTTGTACAAAAGGATAATAAAAGTATTTACATATAGATAAAAAAATCACATATGCATGACAAATGAACTACAAAAAAATAAGTAAAAGAAATCAGCCGTGTAAAATATAAAGTATTAAAAACTTGAAAAAAAAAGAATAGTTATAAAAAATAATAATAAAAAATAATTTAAAAGAAAATAAAAATTAATGGTTATTTTAGTAAAATTTTAAACACATTTCCACATCTCGATCAGTTTACAGCCCAATCACAATCTTAAAACAATGCGTAAAAATCTCTAAAATAGTAGGTTTTGACATTTTTCTTGAACATGTCCAAAGTCGAAGACTGTCTTATATACAGAGGCAATTTATTCCAGAGAGTTGGACCAACGGTACTAAAACTTCTGTCGTTAAATGTTTTCCTTTTGTTAAAGGGGACAGCAAAACAATAATCCATATTATCAACAGATCTGAGATTTGGTCTTTTTATGACAGGTTTGTGTAACAGTTCTGTTAGATAAACCGGAGCATTGCCCATAAAACAGTTATACATTGTACATAGTATTTTAAAATTGATTCTAGCTTTAATTGGTAACCAATACAGTTCAAACAAAGAGTCTTTGGAACTATCATATTTTCCGCGTTGTAAAACAAGTTTAGCGCACATATTCTGGATACGCTGATAATTTCTGTAACTCACTTTCTGAAATGCCAAACAATATAGCGTTGCAATAATCCAAATGTGAGATTACAAGCGACAATATTAGGATTTTTGTGGCGTCCTGAGTCAGATATTTGCGAATGCTCTTTATTCTCAAATAATTTAACATGGCAGTTCTACACTTGGTCTTAACATGTGTTGAGAATCTTAGGCCCTCGTCTAAGTAGGCACCTAAGTATCTTATGACACTGACATTTTGAATTTTATCACCGGCGATATCAATTTCTTTAATTGAGCATTTACCAAGTTGGGCTTTACTACCAAACATAATGAATTCTGTCTTAGTGGTGTTCATTTTGAGTTTATTGGCATTCATCCAGTCATTGATGATTACAGCAATGTCTTCAAGTTGCTTTATAGCGTTAAGTTCATTGGTCACTGGAGTTGGTCGAAAGCGCTGACTAGCTATGTGGTCATCAGCAAAGCCGTACACAGATATCGTTGGTGGTATCACATCAAATAGGGTTCCCGCATATGTGAGATAGAGCCACCGTAACTGTACTATTTGCAAAAAAAAACAAGGATAAGATGGTTCAGGTGATTGGCCAATGAGAAACTATTTGGAATCTATAATACAGCAAAAATAAAAGACTATATTGAGAAATAAAAAAAGCATTTCTAAGGATAATTAATGGGCCATTAAAATGAAAATTTATTTTATTATATTTGGATATTGAGAAGACATAACAGATACTTTTAAAAATAATATTGTACATAACCGATTCTTTTGATGATTTTCAACTGATTTGCTGCCCCTTTTTACATATATTGCGTATATAAAAAGTTGAAAATTAATTGTTGGTCAATATCTATTCCGAGAAGTTTAATTGGTTGTTTATCACATATTATTTCACTAGCATTTCTTTAAATTGTTGGAGAATTTTGAAATATTTTCTTTCCAACTGCAATATATCTTGAAACTTATCTGGGTTTGCTTTCATTTTTATCAAAAATCAATGAAACAATCTATATGAGAAACGCTTAAATTTCTTACTCTATATAGTACACGCCAGTTCTTCAAAATATATATATATTATGAAAAGATAAGTGATGTCATCTGCGTAATTATATGAGCCGCGTCACGACAAAACCAACGTAATACGTTTGCGACCAGCATGGATCCAGACCAGCCTGCACATCCGCGCAGTCTGATCAGGATCCATGCTGTTCGCTTACAAACCCTATTACAAGTAGAGAAACTGATAGCGAACAGCATGGATCCTGATCAGACTGTGCGGATGCGCAGGCTGGTCTGGATCCATGTTGGTCGCAAACGCATTATGTTGGTTTCGCCATGTATAGTGTGCATTTATTTACAAAAAAAGTATCATTTATGAAGATATTATAAACATTAGAGGGCCTGGGATGGATGTTTGGAGGACTCATTAGATATACTAACCCATGAGTTTACAAATGTTCAGGACTATTTTCATTTCATGTTTTCTATTTGAGAGATATAAGGCTGCGTGAGGCTATACTCCGTATGTTTTTGTTTTTTTAACTTGTCTAAAAGAATGCCATGTGACAGGCAATCAAAAGTCTTTGATATATCCATTAATTTGGCAGCCACATATGTATTGTTGCCAAGGACCTGTCGCCAATCTTCAAGTAGTCTTAATTGTGTACTAGCTTCACACATATGACCTAATGTATTATAAATTTGTAGGTCTAATTATTAAATAAATATATATATTGTTAAAATAATCGATCATGCAAATCGTACTTTTTTCAAAACCTAAGCTTGAATAGGTAATAAACTATTTGACCCCTATAGTTTGATTTTTCATAGCATCATTCTTTTTGTATTATGGTTTTATTTACTAATGCTTAGAGTTTGAGTTGTGAAGAAAATACATTTGATTATTTATGTATTGTCCAGGTCAAGCAAATATAACTGGCAAGACGAACTTGTTTGGTATGAGAAAAAACACAACACTTAGGTTGAATGAAATAGGGCATTTATTAAATGCCATAAATGACAAATGTTACATAATAACAAACATGGCATGTACATATTTGTATCGAAATAACCAATCTGGGAGGTAAAAACCGCTAGATTATGATATACATTGTAATGTAATGATTAACCACAAAATCAAAATAAACTATCAAATAGTCAAAGATTCAACCAATGAGGGCTTGCTGAGCTTTATAAAGTTTGCTGATATTTTACTCTGCACATGTACATGTAGCCTTTTTAACATTTAGTTGATACTCAAATTTAGAAATTGTACATTTATAACTTATAAGTGCCTCGGCACGGATTGCGAAGCATTGGGTTTCCCTACGGTAACCTCTGTCTAAAACAATAAATAAAATAAGACTGGACACTAATCATCCAGTACTTGCGCTTAAAATTAACATGTTTACGGGTTTACAAGATAAACTACGTGATGACACATCACTCTTACATGAAAAGAGATGACTTTGTACTCGACGTATTTTGTTTTCGTAAAAGTATTAGACAAAAACGGTGTAAACAATAGTAGTTACTTCCGCATAAAATAAAAATGGCAACTGAATTCACGGAAAAAAGTGTCAGAGAATTTCTAATTGCTAATGGGGGACGAGTTAAAAATACAGATTTGGTTACACACTTTAAAAAGTTCCTCAATGACCCTGCTAGAAGAGGTATTCATTTACTTAGTCAAAAATTAATGTTAACTTACTTGAGCAGTGATAAATAATTTGAAAATTTTCTGTTCATCATTATGAACTTGAGATTTCAAGTTACACGCTCATTGTCAATCATGATGGCTGATAGTATATTATACTAGATAGTATAATAAACTATATTCTAATAAGTTTTAACTGAGAGCAGATCTAACTATACTGTTGACACTGTTAACTCATGCCTACCACTGCTTCCTGAGAACCAGTAAGGCTCCCAGGTAAAACGATTTCTTTTAAACTTTTATGTTCTATACTTCTATACAACCATGTACTGGTTGGAGACCACCAAAACTGGACATCCACCAAACCCGGACAGCCCCAAAAATGCCTTTTTTATTTGTTCAGTGGTTATTGATCTATCAGTCGCTTTTATATCAACAATAACTTCATATTTCAATTGTCGTGAACGGTAATATTTTAATGTCTTTTTCAAGAATGTTGACATTGAAAATTTGGATGTCAAGAGTGCAATACCTGACCACTTTTACTAGCTGTAATCATTTGTAGAGTAAATAATAGCATATCCAAAACTTCAGTATTTGCTATTGAAAGATTTTATATTATGTTAAAAATGAAAAATTAAAACACCAATTTGATGCTATTATTGAATTGAATCAGCATCATGGACATATCTGTCCGGACACATGGTACTGTAATGTGGACAATTCAGGTAATTTTGATACCCTCCTTCATACGGGGAAGTCAATGACAGGGCCCGCGAAGCGGGTTCCGGGCTTTGGCTTGCCCGGCTATAGACTACACGTGAATATTTAAAAGAAAATCAAATAAAAAACAATTAAAAAATATATAGAATTCTATACCTATCAATGAAATTTTCAGTGTCAGTTCTAGTCGGGCGCCGCCATTTACAATGTATGTCAATGATAATAGGCGGGGTATTCCGATAACAGGCTTCGCGAAAGTTGCCGGACCGTCGGACATGTCCGACAAAAATTAGGCCGGTCCGATATTTTTTTGCGAGTTCGTGGGTAAATGGAAAAATGGCCGCTCGTGGTTGGTTTTTAACGAGGAAGAAAAAAAGATGAAATGTACATTGTGTCATAAATTTTATAAAGATCATATGATGATGATGATTTTGATCATGAATGTTTAAATTTCCAGACAGAGTCCATCAATCTGGATAAACTGATGTTTTATTTAAGAGAATAAAATTGTGTTGCAAATCTTTAAAAGTTCCTATGTCTTTAAAAAAACACAAAGGTATTACCATATACATATATTTGGAAAAAAAATTCGGTCAGACAAAAGTTTTTTCGGTCAGACAAGAATTGAAAGTTTGTCTGACCGAATGTCAGGCAAATGTTTCAGCAGTTTCGCGAAGCCTGCGATAACAGAACAAATCTCAACTTTTCGGATTAGTAATAATAGTCGAGTGTTCCGAGTGAAAACGGAAGCGGTGTATGTAATAGCGAGCTCGACAAGCTGGCCCTAAGGGCCTGCTCGCAAAGCGAGCTTTACGGTAACGCGAGTACCTGCTAAGTGATGGTTTTCAAAACTTTCGTCCAAAGTACCGAATTGGACACATCGCAACTTTTCGAATTTAAAGATAACGATAAAAACTAAGGAATTCTGACTGAAAATGGATGTGTAGACTGGTCACCCGCGCACGTCTATGGGAACCATAATTGGACAGGGAACCAGAATATATAATGGAAGCTTCCATTGAAGGCGCCATTTTGTTTGAAAAATCAGATAAATAAAAACAATTTTTGGTCGAATTTTGTTGTGAAAACTATCTAGAATGAAAGAAAATGGTCTAACTAAGAAAATGAATCCGAACATCAATATCTTTTATTCAGTCGTTAACGCTGTACAGACGTTTAAAGTATTGTTTACGTGACGTCACAATGTAGCGCCAAACAGCACGTGCAAAACAATCAAATCAAGTAAGCTATTTTAATGTCGCAAACGTGTAAAGTTTTACATTTATTTCACTTTTAATAATCTTTATTTCGCTTAGTAAAATTATAGAGTAAAATAAAATAAACAAACAAAGTTTTATTAACGTTTTCAAAACTCGTTATTCATTTAACGACAGGGGCGGAGCCATATTTAACACAGTAAGTGTGACGTCACACGCACTCTGAATAAAAATGAGCGATTATTTCATACTATTTCAAGTTAAAAGTACATCGAGCTCGCTTTGAGGCTTAAATGCCTTTTTCATATTATCGAATGACACCGTTAAAACGGAAAGAATGAAAGGATTTCTTAACGACTTCCCCATTCATAGGCTTTGCCTAATTTCATATTAGGCCTCAGATATAAATGTCAACATTTTTGTCATAATCAGAAATAAACAAACTTTCCTGTTTGTTCGGAGAAGAACCTAGCTGTACCATGGCCAAAACACCATTTTTGGGGAAGGGACCTCAGCCTTTTTCTTGGGGAAGTATACGTGATTTTGGCATACTTTGGGAAAAGGGTTCTCAAATTTAACACAAACTTTTAACAAGTTCTTCAAAATAGAAAAGCAAAGAGCACTGGGAAATACTCAGGGCTCGAGCTAGTGGGCTATTCGGGCGAAATAGTCGCTGAATTCCGTCTGACTTCGCCGATATCCTACATGAAAGTGAAGATGAAGTCGCCCGATTTTATTGATCCATTATTGAAAATTACCAACAATAACTGTGAATAACATGTTGTGTGTGTTTGCTTTGTTTACCCTCGCCGCCGGAAAAAGGGACTGTCATGCATCTCAATCAACGCGAAATGTCATTAATCCGTTTGTTTACCATTTACCAACATGTCATAAAAGTCTAATTAACAGACACTCGAGGAACAATTAGACTCCGCCCACGGTGAGATTTTACTGATACGTGCGAGAAACCAATCGTAATTCACGTTTTAATCGAGGCAACATTATTAAACCAATCATTAAATCGCTAACACACAACTACCTGTAACAATTATTTATGATGGACGGATCAAACGTCAATTAAATTTTCACTATCGAATGATTGTCAGAATTAAGAGGACCGCTCGACATATAACTGTAACGGTAATTTTAAATGAACGTTATGATAACCTTTTTTGTCGACGAGTTAAATTTGATAAAATTGACGGCGTATTAAACCGTATTTATTACAAATGAAGTTAAATTAAAGATCGTTTCTTTCGTTATCTACTTTCATTTTCTTTACAACATAAGTGAATATGAATATACAGTCAAAACTGCCATAGTGACCCACTGTATTCAGCGACTTCCTGTCTTATGTGACCCTATTTGGGTCCGCCCAACGATTTTGGCTATAAAGTTGCACTGTATTAAACGACTCACTGTGTTACGTGACTAGCGACCGTGATTTGAACGGTCCGGAACGGGCTAAGCACTGTTTTTAGCGACTATGTTATGAAAGATAACTCTGTTCCTACTTCCTGTTTCATTGAAAAAAATGTCGGAAAGAAAGAAAACACGTATTGTTTTAGATCTTCCACAGAAATATTAAGCCTTACAAAAATTGGATAAAGGAATATCGGCGTATAAAGTGGCAGAAAAACTTTGTGTTGGAAAAACACAAATCCAAAAACCTTTGTTAACGTAAATCGGAAGTAATTTCGGACTTTGAAAATGATGTTCCATTGAATTCTAAACGTCGGAGACATGCAACTGGTGACGAGAAAATCAATGACTTAAATGTATAAATTTTTAACACGGTAAAGAAACAATTTAATTCTGACATTTTAATAACTTTATTAAATATATAAACATTAATTTTTAATAATCAATTTTACAATCATATATTAAATAGCATTTTACATGTATACAATTTTAACACTGTACACACTTTTACTGCTCTTATCATAAATAAATGTTTTAACACTAAATGTATATGCTGTATTAGTATTATTTAACTTTTTAATAGTGTTTGGATGTTTTACTGTAAACCTGTATTAAGAGACTCCCTGTCTTATGTGACCTTCTTAAGAAAGTCCCCTGTAGGGTCACATAAGACAGTTTTGACTGTAATGTCCGGCGCAAGCTTTTTAATAGTAAATCAGAAGGGAATAACTGTTAATCCACCCATGATATGATCCATGATAGGAATCAACTATGGCTTTTTTATCTTCATTTAATGCAATGGTTGCATTACATGATACTCATTCTTATTACTTCTTTCAACCTACTTTTAAATTAAAATTGAATATATATTCTGTTGTAACACAAATCAAATTCATTTAATAAGATATGTACAGTGAGTCAACATAATTGCGATAACATACTAAATGAATCTTCTCACTTCTCCCTAAAGTCTCCCCACTTCTCCCTAAAGCAGCTGGAGGGAGAAGTGACTTCTCCCTAAATTTTGAACCTAGCTTGAGCCCTGATACTAATAAGGTGGTAAAAGACCTTTATTCAACACCATCATTTAATTTTGTACTAAATTCTAGGGGAAATTTCAAAAGCCTGGGGAGTTTTGAGGACCAAACTGGGGGGAAAAAAGAGGCTAGTTTTGTTGGGGAAGCAGCCTATAATCGGCCTCTACAAAGTAGGGTTTTTTGGCCTGGTGTACTGTGTACAATTTTCAGATCTTTAGCTTAAAAATTGTAAAATCTGTTTAGAAAATGTTTAAAAAGTGTGCGGTTGGTGGTCCCCAACCAGTACTCGAGTTGCCAAATGATAACCTATTTTCTTTTTAATATAAAATAAGGCAAAACCTCAAAGCGAACTCATTGACAGAAATTATTGTACATTATAATTTGAAAGGGGAAGTCAGTTAAAATAATTCTATTTTACATTTTCGTTTTAAAAGTGCCATTCGTTGTTTATTCTGGTTCCCTGTCGTCTACGCATCTGTTTTCAATAAAAAAAATTTCGGTTTTTAATGTTATCTTGTTATTCAAAAAGTTGCAGTGTGTTTATTTCTTACTTCCGGCAAAAGTTTTCAAAACCATCACTTTCAAGCAGGTACTCATGTTACCGTAAAGCTAGCTTTGCAAGCTTTTGGCCAGCTCTTTGAGCTAGCTATTACATGTATAAATTAATAATTTTCAAGGCTCATTGTAAGGGAGTACCCACAAATTTTCTGCATTGTAACCCCATTTGAAAGATCAAAGGAGAAATTAATATACTTTACCAAAAATGTATTATGTCACAAGCTATCGAGCGGTGATGCTATGTGGAGAGTTGTGAGCACCCATTTCCTGTTTTTTACTTTGGAATAAATCAATTAGAATTGATGGAATTCATGATTACAGGCAATGATTAAGAAATTTTATAAGACAATTATAATAATTATGGTCATTTCATTTAAACAGTAAAAAATATCGTTAACATTTACACATGAAAATCGAAACGTTTAACCATAGGGGCCTTAATAACAAGTAGATCTATACTGGTTGGGGCTACCAAAACCGGATAACCATCAAACCCCGACAGCCCCGAAAATGCCTGATTAAATTTTTTCTTTGTTCAGTGGCTTAATATCATGTTAAAATTGATAAATTAAAACATTTTCATCTGGATTAAATCAACACCATGTAATATCTGTCCGGACACATGGTACTGTAGTATGGACAATTTAGGTAATTTTAATACCCTCATCGACAGGACTCTAATGAAATGTCAACATAATTAGAAATAAACAAACTCGTTTGTTAGTTAGGAGCAGAACCTAGCTGTACTGTGTCAATTTTTAGCTAACCTGTCACAAAGTGACAGGGTGAGCTTTTGTGATCGCTTTTCGTCCGGCGTCCGTCCGTCGTCCGTCCGTAAACTTTTGCTTTAAATGACATCTCCTCATAAACCACTGAGCCAATTTCATCCAAACTTCACAGGAATGTTCCTTTGGTCGTCACCTTTAAAAATTGTTCAAAGAATTTAATTCCATGCAGAACTCTGGTTGCCATGGCAACCAAAAGAAAAAACTTTAAATATCTTCTTTTAAAAAACCATAAGAGCTAGAGCTTAGATATTTGGCATGAAACATCTTCTAGTGAGTGTCTACCAAGTTTGTTCAAATAAAAGCCCTGGGGTCAAAATTGGCCCCGCCCCAGGGGGTCATTGATTTTCCCTATATGCATATAGTAAAAACTTAAAAAATCTTCTTTTAAAGAACCGTAAGAGTTAGAGCTTAGATATATGGCATGAAACATCTTCTAGTGAATGTCTACCAAGTTTGTTCAAATAAAAGCCCTGGGGTCAAAATTGGCCCCGACCCAGGGGGTCATTGATTTTCCCTATATGCATATAGTAAAAACTTAAAAAATCTTCTTTTAAAGAACCCAAAGAGCTAGAGCTAAGATATTAAGCATGAAACATCTTCTAGTGAGTGTCTACCAAGTTTGTTCAAATTAAAGCCCTGGGGTCAAAATTGGCCCTGCCCCGGGGGTCATTGATTTTCCCTATATGCATATAGTAAAAACTTCTTTTAAAGAACCCAAAGAGCTAGAGCTAAGATATTTAGCATGAAACATCTTCTAATGAGTGTCTACCAAGTTTGTTCAAATAAAAGCTCTGGGGTCAAAATTGGCCCCGCCCCAGGGGGTCATTGATTTTCCCTATATGCATATAGTAAAAACTTAAAAAATCTTCTTTTAACATGTTTAAAGAACTCAAAGAGCTAGAGGTAAGATATTTAGCATGAAATATGTTCTAATGGGTGTCTACCAAGTATGTTCAAATAAAAGCCCTGGGGTCAAAACTGGCCCCGCCCGGGGGGGGGGGGGGTCATTGATTTTCCTTATATGTGTATAGCAAAAACTTAAAAATCTTCTTTGGAAAAACCCAAATAGCTAGAGTTTAGATATTAAGCATGAAACATCTTTGAGTAAATATCTACAAAGTTTGTTAAAATAAACGCCCGGGGGTCAAAACTGGCCCTGCCCCAGGGGTGACATTGTTTTTAACTATATGTGTATAGTAAAAACTTTAAAAATCTTCTTTTAAAAATGCCAATGAGCTAGAACTTAAATGTTTAGCATGAAACATCTTCTTATGGGTGTCTACCAAGTCTGTTCAAATAAACAAATAAAAGCCCTTGGGTAAAAATTGGCCCGGGGGTGGGGGGCCTATATACAGGTGAGCGACCTCAGGGCCATCATGGCCCTCTTGTTTATATCTCTAGCTTTCAAATTAAAAAAATTTGCGTGGAAAAATGTTCAAAAGGTGTCTGGTTGATGGACACCGAATATGCCTCTTTATCAAATTATTATTATTTCAAATTATTTCTTCAGGAAAATCATTAAATTAATAAATGAATGAATAGGACAATCCAACATTCTGTGTTTATTTTGATATAAACTTTAAGTTGCTATTTAATTTAGATGTTAAATGAAAATTTTGTGTATTTTCAGATGAGATGAGGGAAAAGTTCAAGAATTTTGTCAATACACTGGCAACAATAAAGATGGATGACGTGAGTGAATGATGAACTTCTCTTAAATACAAATTTTATTTTACAAGAGTTAAGATATCTTTATATCTTAAAAGGATATAAATCTATATCAAATAGAAAATATTTTTGTGAAAATTTATAAACAGTAAATTTACATGTATGTTGTTTCCATAGTCTAATGGTTGATAGTCTAAAGGTATTTTCGAAAGCATTTTGTGTTTCAAAATGAAAACAATAATTGTGTAAATAATTATAGCAGATATAAAATAGTATAGTTTTATACACTTAACCCTTTCGCTGCCAGAGGGTTATTGTTTTATTGATCACCTATTTGCCAGAGGGTTTTCTAAGAAATTACTATATTATTATTTAATATAATTATTATTATTTGTTATTAGTATTATACTAATTATATATGTTTCCAAATCTGTGAGTATAATAATAATTATTGTCAATGGTATAATTTTCTTTTTTTTTATGATTATTTAATTATACGAGGGTTGTCCCAAAAGTCTGTGACAAATTTAATAGCCGGTTCATTTTTAATGCCAATAGAAAATAATTCACACATATAACCTTTAAGTTTATAATTTAACATTACAACAAATCATTTACAAAAAAATTACCCTAGTTACTTAGAAATTTTCAGTATTAACGACCTTGGTTTGAGTTGCCGGCGCACGTCAAATAATTTACATTTTGTTATTAATAGGCTGAAATTAATTACGTATATTTCAAATATATGATGATGTGTCTGCACAATGTCACGTTGACTTCCTCTGTTGCTATGTTTAAATTATCTCTGAAAATTTTAGTTAAATAACTTAAAAAATGATAAAGATACGAATAAATGAAAATATCTCATAAAAAATAAGCAAGTTAAAATGGCGACGTTTGAAGAATTTGCGGCGCAGTCAACATGTCACTCAAGTTTTATGACTATTTCGAGATGACACATGTAGGATTTTCAACAAATATACCAAATACTGTATAACAGTTTAGCAACATATTCTGAGCACTTGTGTACAAAAGGCATGGATGGAACCAGACTTTTGCTCTACAAAAAGCGAAAATAAGGAAAACACGGATAGGAAGACCGATCTTCGTCGCCTATTTCCTACAGCTAAAAACAGGAGTAACGAGACCGGAAGTTCGCGTGTAGCAAAAATTAATGTATGCCGTCCAAACATTCAACAGACATTAACAACCACATTATTTAAGTCAGAAATTGACGATTTATAGGTACCATTATTGCGTTGAAAGCCATTGAGAGTATTTGAGAAAGGCGCCTGATATAGATTTAACGCCGTCTTTGACGTTGGACGTGCGCCGCCATTCAGTTAGTTGCCATGGTGTTTATGGCATATTTTTGTTGTTTGTTGATATTTATCTATGAAAATTTGTGAAAATGTTTAAATTATATGGGTTTATAACATATTAAAATATCAAATTCGTACCTGTTTTATTTAACTTTTAATCAATCTTGTCACAGAATATTGGGACAACCCTCGTTATTATCAATAATTTATTATTATTACTATTATTATTATAGAAACAGCTTAAGCCGTCCATATGGCAAATACGCCGAAAAAAACAGGGCCGTCCCTATGGCAGTGAAAGGGTTAAATATTATTGAAAATTGCATCTCACTCTCAGAAAAGTGAATATATAATGATTATCAGGGGGGAAAAATCAAGTAAATCTGAATGGACATGTTTGCCACTCAAAACAGGGATTGTGGGTTTGAGCCCTAAGGTGGTCACAATTATGTTTCCTCATTATGTTGAATCTGGCTGAATCAAATAAACCCCATGCTCTTATCATGATCAAAATAAACTAATCTAATTTGCATAATATTTGATCTTTTAATGGATGAATCATTTATTGTTAAGTGTGCAAACCATAAAATTCTTGTTGTTTTTGAAGTTGTTGTTTTTTGTTGTTGTTTCTTTTTGTGGGAGTGGGGGCAGCATTTTTTTGGTTTGAATTCTTGATGTTTTGCTAACAGTTACATACTGTATGTACTGGAATTTGTTCTGAATATTAAGATAAACTTCTTATACTTCAAATGTGACAAATGCTGACAGAATGATGGTAAAATTTCTTTAAAAAATGATAACAATAATATGCTATGTTATAGTAACGTTTTATGTTTATAGAATAAAGAGAAGATACTGATGTTAAAGAAGAAATACAGAGAAGATGGCGGGGGTGGTAAATTTGATACCAGGGCACAATCAGAACCTCCGTCTGGCCCAGTAACTACCCAAGGTATGTTGATTACGGAAGATTACTGATTATGGCTCACTCTGTTATTTAAACCATTTGCTAAAATTTTATTAATTTTGCCATAGACATTTTTAATTTTGCTACAGCCTCCATGTTATGCCATTTTGATATAACTTCGTATAAAGTCAGAAAATCAAACAAATTTGGTAAAAAAAAACAACACTCAACAAGGCACAAGGCTAAAAATTGATGATGAAAAGTTTGGACTTTAAAGGGTTGAAGAATCAGAATAGATAAATAATTATACATGATTTTATCCAGCATGTAAAAATGCTCAGTGTCTTTATTTTCTTCGATGTTATTATTTTTAAATGGCTTTACATGTATATCCTTACTTTTAGATGTACAATTTCAATTATCTTTCTTCACAAAGTTTCATAATAAGAACCCACACGTAAAATTTGGGAAAAACTAAAAGTGTTTATATATATTATATTTAGATCGACCTGATGGTGCAGCGCCCTCTCGTGTGAAGAGTGACGGTAATTTATCAGCTACTGATCAACGCCTGTCCTCACCCACGTTATCTAATGATACAGGAAGTCTTGGGTCAAGCCAATCAACATCTTCTATGCGATCATTGGTAAACTTTTTGATAAAGATTATTGTTATTGTTTGTACAGGCATGGTATAAATTCTGGCATTGTGTAATGGTTTCAATTGAAGAATGACCTTTGAATGTGTGTATTGCCAATCTGTGACAGAGTGGGTAAGGCATCAAACTTTGAGGCATGCAGATTGTCATTAACTAATGTAGATTACCATCCATTATATTATTTGTTGCAAAGATTTTTATGCCCCCACAAAGTGGGAGCATATAGCGTTGCACTTGTCCGTCCGTCCAGAGGTCCGTCTGTCCGTCCGTCCGTCCCAAAATCTTGTGAATGCAACTCCTCTTAAACCGGATGGCAGATTTTGCTTAAACTTCCAGGGATGAACAACCTTAATGTGTAAATGGTAGTAAAGGAAGGAATTTTCGCTGCGACCAAATTTAACAGAATTATGGCCCTTTGTTGATTTTTTCTCTGTATACTATGTACAAATTTTGTGAACGCAACTTCTCTTAAACCGGATGGCAGTTTTTGCTTAAACTTCCAGGGAAGAACAACCTTAATGTGTAGATGGTAGTAAAGGAAGGAATTTTTGTTGCGACCAAATTTAACAGAATTATGGCCCTTTGTTAATTTTTTCACTATATACCATACTGGTTGGAGAGATAACTCCGTCACTAAATCACTATTTTTTCTAAATATCTTTTTAGCTCACCTGTCACAAAGTGACAGGGTGAGCTTTTGTGATCGCTTTTCCTCCGGCGTCCGTCCGTCTGTCCGTCGTCCGTCCGTTGTCCGTCCGTAAACTTTTGCTTTAAATGACATCTCCTCATTAACCACTGAGCCAATTTCATCCAAACTTCACAGGAATGTTCCTTTGGTGGTCACCTTTAAAAATTGTTCAAAGAATTTAATTCCATGCAGAACTCTGGTTGCCATGGCAACCGAAAGAAAAATCTTTAAATATCTTCTTTTAAACAACCCTAAGAGCTAGAGCTTAGATATTTAGCATGAAACATCCTCTAGTGAGTGTCTACCAAGTTTGTTTAAATAAAAGCCCTGGGGTCAAAATTGGCCCCGCCCCAGGGGGTTATTGATTTTCCCTATATGCATATGGTAAAACCTTAAAAAATCTTCTTTTAAAGAACCCTAAGAGCTAGAGCTAAGATATTTGGCATGAAACATCTTCTAGTGAGTGTCTACCAAGTTTGTTCAAATGAAAGCCCTGGGGTCAAAATTGGCCCCGCCCAGGGGGGTCATTGATTTTCCTTATATGCATATAGTAAAAACTTAAAAAATCTTCTTTTAAAGAACCATAAGAGCTAGAGCTTAGATATTAAGCATGAAACATCTTCTAGTGAATGTCTACCAAGTATGTTCAAATAAACGCCCTGGGGTCAAAATTGGCCCCGCCCCAGGGGGTCATTGATTTTCCCTATATGCATATAGTAAAACCTTAAAAAATCTTCTTTTAAAGAACCCAAAGAGCTAGAGCTAAGATATTAAGCATGAAACATCTTCTAGTGAGTCTCTACCAAGTTTGTTCAAATAAAAGCCCTGTGGTCAAAATTGGCAACACCCCCGGGGGGTCATTGATTTTTCCCTATATGCATATAGTAAAAACTTAAAAAATCTTCTTTTAAAGAACCATAATAGCTAGAGCTTAGATATTTGGCATGAAACATCTTCTAGTGAATGTCTACCAAGTTTGTTCAAATAAAAGCCCTGGGGTCAAAACTGGCCCCGCCCCAGGGGGTCATAGATTTTCCCTATATGCATATAGTAAAAACTTAAAAAATCTTCTTTTAAAGAACCCAAAGAGCTAGAGCTAAGATATTTAGCATGAATATCTTGTAATGGATGTCTACCAAGTTTGATCAAATAAAAGCCCTGGGGTCAAAATTGACCCAGCCCCAGGGGGTCATTGACTTTTCCTATATGCATATAGTAAAAACTTAAAAAATCTTCTTTTTAAGAACTCAAAGAGCTAGAGCTAAGATGCTAAGATATTTAGCATGAAACATGTTCTAATGGGTGTCTACCAAGTATGTTCAAATAAAAGCCCTAGGGTCAAAACTGGCCCTGCCCGGGGGGTGGGGGGTCATTGATTTTCCTTATATGTGTATAGCAAAAACTTAAAAATCTTCTATGAAAATACCCAAATAGCTAGAGTTTAGATATTAAGCATGAAACATCTTTATGTATATATCTACAAAGTTTGTTCAAATAAAAGCCCGGGGGTCAAAACTGGCCCTGCCCCAGGGTGTCATTGTTTTTAACTATATGTGTATAGTAAAAACTTTAAAAATCTTCTTTTAAAAAACCCAATGAGCTAGAACTTAAATATTTAGCATGAAACATCCTCTTATGGGTGTCTACCAAGTCTGTTCAAATAAACAAATAAAAGCCCTTGGGTAAAAATTGGCCCAGGGGTGGGGGGGCCTATATACAGGTGAGCGACCTCAGGGCCATGTATATTTTAAATTTTTACCCACCTAAACAAAGTTAGGTTCAAACATTTATAATCATGTGCAAATTTCCTTTCTTGAAATGGAAACTGGTACTTCCTTAAGGTCTTGAATAAGGTATCCGAAACATGGTCTTTTTGACCCTGGACAGTAGATAAAGTCAACACTTTAATTGTAAAATAAATACTAGCTTGAAAATTATTTATTTAAACATATAATAGGCTTTAACTATGCCTTATTGATAATTTAACAAATTTTTAAAGAAATTTTCCCAAGTCACTACCCTGTGTTCAAGACAAGTCTTAACTACCATCTGGAAGTTAAGTAAAAAGAACGTTTTGTGGCTGTTTTTGTAACAAAAAATTGTGGTCAACATAAACACATTTAAAAGTTTACCAAATTTAAAAATCTCATCACAGTCTGTCCTTCTCCTTTATTACTAGGAGACCATGTGCTTGTTTGTTGACAAAAAAAGATGAATAAAAAAATTATACCAAGTGTCGGGTTTATATATGTGTCGGAGTTATCTCTTCAACCAGTATAGAAATGTTGTGAACGCAGCTCCTCTTAAACCGGATGGCAGATTTTGCTTAAACTTCAAGGGATGAACAACCTTAATGTGTAGATGGAAGTAAAGGAAGGATTTTTTGCTGCGACCAAATTTAACAGAATTATGGCCCTTTGTTGATTTTTTCACTATATACCATGTATATGTTGTCAGTGGGGGCATCCGTGTCCTTTGGACACAGTTCTAGTTTACAGTTTATATGTCCTTGAATTATTAGTTTACAATGTATATGGTTGTAAATTTATAGAACTTCAGCTTGCAGTTGTCAAAGATTTACATCTTTGAAATACATGGAGAAGTTAGTTCATAAACTCGAAATGGTCATGTACGCAGTATAGTGACATCAAGATTATCCAATGAAAATCCTTGTTACAAATATGCGGTCCTATGATAGATACTGTGAAAACTTGTGTTTAATCTTGGAAATACAAATAAAGTTACAAAAAACAATATGATTTCAGTCATCAGTGGGTCAAGAAGAGGACAACAATGCATCTGTTTTAAGTGTGAAAGAGAGAGCTAAACATTTGAACCGGATAGAATCGGAGTCTGAAATACAAAAAGTCTCATCCTCAAACCTTGGCGCTGTCCGTAAAAAAGAACATAGGAAGGTATGTTGTTTTCTTTTCTGTAAAAAGGTTTGGTACAGTTATAGTCAGTAGTTATATCAATATATATTCTAATTATCGAAAGTTAATGAAAAATGATTAGGGATGGCAACGAGTAACCAGTTAACAGAGTACTTGATCGAACGTCCGAATATTGGTTTACAAAATTGATGTTCGATTAATCGGAAAAAAATGTATAATCTCTATTGTTTTTGCAATTTAGAAAGGTAAGTGCAGAAATTTGGAGATGTATATGTAGCTTCATAACATAATAACATGACATAATAACATAACATAATCTTCATTTCTCTCAATACATTTAAACATGCAAATATGAGGAATTTACAATATATGATATAAACATTCGAGGCTTACAAAGGATCACAAACCAAACGTGCAAATCAATAATTACAAATTAAGAATTTCTATATTTAACGTAATGTAATAGCTATAACATAAGTATTTCCAGTTTATAGTTAAATTCTTATCTTTTGAATAATACATTTTACAAGTTTACACAACTTGAGACATTGAGACTTGGTTTTAATACACATAATATTTTCTAGTTTAAAAATGTTGGTCATTGATAATAGACTTTTTTCAGAAATCATTTTCTTTCTTCATTAAATTGACAACATTCAAATTAATAATGAAATTCGTTGCCAATTTTATATTGACAATTTGAAAAAATACCTGTTAAATCGTTAAAAAATTCTTGCAGAGGTGCGAATATGTTAACGTAAATTTAACAAGGGGATCAACAGTTTGAAACGCACATGGGATAGAACACCTGTGTTGCTTATGTCATTCGGTCTCTGATGATATTTAATTACCTTAAATTGTACATTATTTAAAACGTTATAAAATATAATGTTGTTGATTTAATTGTAATATTTGTTTATTGGTTATTCTAAGTTACCTCCCTTGCAGTGCTATTTATAGTTACAAATTCTATGAATTTAACTAGAAAACGAAAGTAGCATGCCGACGGTGTTGATATTGTGTGATAAAACTTTGAAGATCATTTAAAATCATCCAAGTAATTGATTAATCGATCAGAAAAATGGCAGAGTACTCAAGTATTAGTTTTGGTATTGGTTGCCATCCCTAAAAATGATGTTATTTTCAGAAACATTTTAAGATTTAATAAACAATTGAAGTAAACAATTAAAAACCGTTATTTATAACTATTAATCTTCAAGATACTTCATTAAGATAAGATAAAGTCTCGTCAGATTTAACCAGCTTATATCATGTGTGTGACCTGTAGATTAAATACTCAGGGCTTTTTTCCTTCTATAACAAGTATTTCACAGTAAGTCTCCCATATTGTATGTTATATTCATATTTTATAGAATGGGATTCTATATCTTTAGCTAACCATTGTATGATTTGATGTTTCAGGCTCGAGACCCTGAAAGTGATGACTCCAGTTCTGATAGTTACTCTCCTGTAAGTATATATCATTTTATGTTATATTAATATATAAAATTAAAGATTTTTGTACTGCCAAAAGCCATCAGTTGTCTGCATTAAATGAAACAAAATAAGTTTTAACTATAAAGAATTTTAGAAGTTTTTAGCTCCCCTTAGCATAAAATGCCCAGAGGTTAGCTTTTGTGATGGCATGTTGTGTGTCATAAGAGGATTTTGACCAAATTTCATAAGTGTTATCCTTACATGGCCATCTGCAAGCTTACAATAAATTGTTCCAGTCTGATTCACAAATATATCAGAAAGGCTCGAAATAGACTTTAAAAGTGATATCTTAAAAAAAATCTCAACAACTGGATTGTTGAGAGCTTAGATATTTGGCATGTAGCATCACCTTTAAGTCCTACAGATTATATAATGACCCTATTCTAGGAGTAGTTAGTTTATGTAGACTTATATAGGAAAACATATATATTAAACCTACAATGCCCAGAGCTTAGCTACATGAATTTTGCATGTGGCATTTGCCTTGTACAAAAGTGATTTAAATCAAGCCCTTGGGCCAAAATGGTCAACTCATTAGGGTCACATAGTTTATATAGAGTTGTATAGTAGACATGCCTTAAAACATGAGTGAAGTGTGTATTTCAGTCTGAATAGTGGAAGTGTGTATTTCAGTCTGAATAGTGGAAGTGTGTATTTCAGTCTGAATAGTGGAAGTGTGTATTTCAGTCTGAATAGTGAAAGTGTGTATTTCAGTCTGAATAGTGGAAGTGTGTATTTCAGTCTGAATAGTGGAAGTGTGTATTTCAGTCTGAATAGTGGAAAGTGTGTATTTCAGTCTGAATAGTGGAAGTGTGTATTTCAGTCTGAATAGTGGAAAAGTGTGTATTTCAGTCTGAATAGTGAAAGTGTGTATTTCAGTCTGAATAGTGGAAGTGTGTATTTCAGTCTGAATAGTGGAAGTGTGTATTTCAGTCTGAATAGTGGAAGTGTGTATTTCAGTCTGAATAGTGGAAGTGTGTATTTCAGTCTGAATAGTGGAAAGTGTGTATTTCAGTCTGAATAGTGAAAGTGTGTATTTCAGTCTGAATAGTGAAAGTGTGTATTTCAGTCTGAATAGTGAAAGTGTGTATTTCAGTCTGAATAGTGAAGTGTGTATTTCAGTCTGAATAGTGAAAGTGTGTATTTCAGTCTGAATAGTGGAAGTGTGTATTTCAGTCTGAATAGTGGAAGTGTGTATTTCAGTCTGAATAGTGGAAGTGTGTATTTCAGTCTGAATAGTGGAAGTGTGTATTTCAGTCTGAATAGTGGAAGTGTGTATTTCAGTCTGAATAGTGGAAGTGTGTATTTCAGTCTGAATAGTGAAAGTGTGTATTTCAGTCTGAATAGTGGAAGTTTGTATTTCAGTCTGAATAGTGGAAGTGTGTATTTCAGTCTGAATAGTGGAAGTGTGTATTTCAGTCTGAATAGTGGAAGTGTGTATTTCAGTCTGAATAGTGGAAGTGTGTATTTCAGTCTGAATAGTGGAAGTGTGTATTTCAGTCTGAATAGTGGAAGTGTGTATTTCAGTCTGAATAGTGGAAGTGTGTATTTCAGTCTGGATAGTGGAAGTGTGTATTTCAGTCTGGAATAGTGGAAGTGTGTATTTCAGTGTGTGTCTGATAGTGGAAGTGTGTCTTTCAGTATTTCAGTCTGAATAGTGAATGTGTGTATTTCAGTCTGAATAGTGAAGTGTGTATTTCAGTCTGAATAGTGAAAGTGTGTATTTCAGTCTGAATAGTGGAAGTGTGTATTTCAGTCTGAATAGTGGAAGTGTGTATTTCAGTCTGAATAGTGGAAGTGTGTATTTCAGTCTGAATAGTGGAAGTGTGTATTTCAGTCTGAATAGTGGAAGTGTGTATTTCGGTCTGAACAGTTGAAGTGTGTATTTCAATCTTAATAGTGAAAGTGTGTATTTCAGTCTGAATAGTGTAAGAACAATGGAAGTGTGTATTTCAGTCTGAATAGTGGAAGTGTGTATTTCAGTCTGAATAGTGGAAGTGTGTATTTCAGTCTGTATAGTGGAAGTGTGTATTTCAGTCTGAATAGTGAAAGTGTGTATTTCAGTCTGAATAGTGGAAGTGTGTATTTCAGTCTGAATAGTGGAAGTGTGTATTTCAGTCTGAATAGTGGAAGTGTGTATTTCAGTCTGAATAGTGGAAGTGTGTATTTCAGTCTGAATAGTGGAAGTGTGTATTTCAGTCTGAATAGTGGAAGTGTGTATTTCGGTCTGAACAGTTGAAGTGTGTATTTCAATCTTAATAGTGAAAGTGTGTATTTCAGTCTGAATAGTGTAAGAACAATGGAAGTATGTATTTCAGTCTGAATAGTGGAAGTGTGTATTTCAGTCTGAATAGTGGAAGTGTGTATTTCAGTCTGTATAGTGGAAGTGTGTATTTCAGTCTGAATAGTGGAAGGGTGTATTTCAGTCTGAATAGTGGAAGTTGGTATTTCAGTCTGAATAGTGGAAGTGTGTATTTCAGTCAGAATAGTGGAAGTGTGTATTTCAGTCTGGATAGTGGAAGTGTGTATTTCAGTCTGAATAGTGGAAGTGTGTATTTCAGTCTGAATAGTGGAAGTGTGTATTTCAGTCTGAATAGTGGAAGTGTGTATTTCAGTCTGTAAAGTGGAAGTGTGTATTTCAGTCTGAATAGTGAATGTGTGTATTTCAGTCTGAATAGTGGAAGTGTGTATTTCAGTCTGAATAGTGAAAGTGTGTATTTCAGTCTGAATAGTGGAAGTGTGTATTTCAGTCTGAATAGTGAATGTGTGTATTTCAGTCTGAATAGTGGAAGTGTGTATTTCAGTCTGAATAGTGAAAGTGTGTATTTCAGTCTGAATAGTGGAAGTGTGTATTTCAGTCTGAATAGTGGAAGTGTGTATTTCAGTCTGAATAGTGGAAGTGTGTATTTCAGTCTGAATAGTGGAAGTGTGTATTTCAGTCTGAATAGTGGAAGTGTGTATTTCAGTCTGAACAGTTGAAGTGTGTATTTCAATCTTAATAGTGGAAGTGTGTATTTCAGTCTGAATAGTGGAAGAACAGTGGAAGTGTGTATTTCAGTCTGAATAGTGGAAGTGTGTATTTCAGTCTGAATAGTGGAAGTGTGTATTTCAGTCTGAATAGTGGAAGTGTGTATTTCAGTCTGAATAGTGGAAGTGTGTATTTCTGTCTGAATAGTGGAAGTGTGTATTTCAGTCTGTATAGTGGAAGTGTGTATTTCAGTCTTAATAGTGGAAGGGTGTATTTCAGTCTGAATAGTGGAAGTTGGTATTTCAGTCTGAATAGTGGAAGTGTGTATTTCAGTCTGTATAGTGGAAGTGTGTATTTCAGTCTGAATAGTGAAAGTGTGTATTTCAGTCTGTATAGTGGAAGTGTGTATTTCAGTCTGAATAGTGGAAGTGTGTATTTCAGTCTGAATAGTGAAGTGTGTATTTCAGTCTGAATAGTGAATGTGTGTATTTCAGTCTGAATAGTGAAAGTGTGTATTTCAGTCTGTATAGTGGAAGTGTGTATTTCAGTCTGAATAGTGAATGAGTGTATTTCAGTCTGAATAGTGAATGTGTGTATTTCAGTCTGAATAGTGAAAGTGTGTTTTTCAGTCTGAATAGTGAATGTGTGTATTTCAGTCTGAATAGTGGAAGTGTGTATTTCAGTCTGAATAGTGAATGTGTGTATTTCAATCTGAATAGTGGAAGTGTGTATTTCAGTCTGAATAGCGAATGTGTGTATTTCAGTCTGAATAGTGAATGTGTGTATTTCAGTCTGAATAGTGGAAGTGTGTATTTCAGTCTGTTTGGGGTTAAAAAATGTACAGTCTAACTTGCCCATGCGACCACATGTATTAAGCGACTTTTGTCTTAAACGACCACTTTAAATTCCCCCCGATCTTTTTCTCTCAATATCTTTAATGTATTAAGCGACTTTCGCTCAACGTGACCAGCGACCGCTAATTAGTCACCTAATTGAGATCAATCTTTTCATTAAACGACCACTTTTACCTGTCAAGTAATTGTGTTTTTAGAGAACGCCATCTCGTAATGTCACAAGTGTCAACAATCAAAACACAACAAATAAACGTGTGAAAAACTCTATTTCCCATACTGTTTTAGCGTATGCAAATGAAGTTAAGTATACGCGCGTATTATCCAATAATATCGGATAAACAATGCAACGCTCCGCCCCTACTGAGATGGTGTATACGCTTCGCTTGTTGACATTTAGACTGCATTGAATTGACCTTGAACTTGATCAGCCATTAAATTAATCGTAACAATTAAATGTAGTTTGTTTATTTCAAATGAAAAAATGAAGAACAATAAACATCTTCACTAATAGGGGTTTCGTGTTGGAGACAAGGAAAAACAACGGAGAAGTTAAAAAATTCTGGAAAAAATGTCAAACATGTATATACGTAATGGATCAAAACTGTTTTGTTAATGAATATCAGAAATTATTTTTTACATTTGCATCCATTTAGATTATCGGAGCGTAGTTATTATTAAACATTTGATTTATATAACAATGAAGTTGAAAAACATTCCCAACACATTAAAAAAGATGTCATTTATAAAGTTTGACTTATATCATGCTGACTGTCTTAAGAGACCGTTTAATTAAGCGACCATTTTGGGTGTTTCCCTTGCGCGGTCGCTTAATATGCGTTTGACTGTATTTCAGTGTATTAGAGTGATAAGTGTCAGGTTTGTACATATATTTCAGTCTTATTAGAATGGATACCTAATTGAATCTTATAGGATGCTAATTGAAAACAAAATTATTTATAACAATTGATATGTGATTTGAACTTTGTAAAAGCTAATTTGTCAATTCAGTTCAGTAGAAATGTTTTACTGACATAAATAAATACTTGTTTCCTTTCAGCTCAGTCCGGTAGAGAAAGATTGGCTCGTGAAATGTTCAGCTGCGGAATATCATCTGATGCATGAGTTACTCTCTAAGAATCCCCATCTTGCCACTGTGAAAGAGTTTAATTCTGTAAGATATTTTGGCTTATTGTTAGTAAATATTTTCATCCATTTCGTTCCGATGATGATATTGATGTTCAAAAATGTTCCGAAATATGGGAAAGTATGGGGATTGGAGGCTTAGTTTGGGTAGGACATCTCTCCAGGTCCCCTTTTCCATTTATCTATGCCTATGGTATCAGTAAGAAGCTATACTGGTTTCCTAGCGTTTTCCGGCCGTTTATCATTGTCCAGTACCGTCTATATTTACCAGTGAGGCATCCACATTACTTCATCAATCCGAGAGACATTTGTTTTCTATGCTAAACAGCTTTTAAAATAGTACAGCAATTTATATGTTTTGAAGTTTTGCCTGTTATTAAAAATTACATAAGAGAACTTGCGACATTCAAAAATAAGCAAAACCTGGGGAATTCTAGTTTGAATATCCATGCACAATAACTAAGACTCCATTTTAGGTAAAGCAATACTTCGGAAAATATTTTTGCAGACGACACGGAAAAGGTTGAAAAGTTATGTTTGTCTGATAAAATCTTCTTAATATTGCTTTATGGTACTGAATTATATTCAAAATAAAAAGGTCCGGAAAACTGCTATGAATTTTTAAGTATAGGTGAAAAAAGATGTTACATTTCAGGCCTATATTCAAATTAAAAAGTAAAATAAAAGTGCAACATTAAACACATGGCAATGCTGGACATGTACCTAACTTTGTCCTGTCAAAGTTTTGTACCCCTCCGTAGACTGATTTTTATTTTATTTGTTAAAAAGTGTGATTTGTGGCTGGAAACTGCTAGGAAACCAGTAAAGGATATCATTTACAAGAGGTTTTATATGAAATATTTATGTCAGATCAAAACGTACATGGACAGGAAGTTCAACTTAAATACATTATATACTATGTGTGTTTTTATATAGTCTCTTATGTTTATAGTTGTATATGATGTGTACACTCAGTGAGTTAACTTATGTTATCACCAAACAATATACATCATGTCAATCATGTATTTTACATATTTCACAAATGTAATATTAAAAGTCAGACATAATAAAGTAATAATAAAACATATTATTAAAGAAATGACTGTAAATATTGCCTTGAATAAATTTTAGCTGTGTTTTTATACCTTCACAAATGAAATAACCCATTTTATATTTTGCAATGTACCAGTGACCTTGACCTATAATTATTACAGTGACAGGTAACCTCAGGTAATATTAAAGTTAATGAAACAAACTTAACCAAAAAAGTAAACTATCGCCAGCCCCAGCACTTAGGCCATTACAATTTTCAAATAAAAAAACTAGAGCTATCACTAAAGGGGATTAATACCCCCACCAGCAACTTTGACTTTTGTTTAGTTAGCTTCAATATTACCTGAGGTTACTTGTCACAGTCATAATTATGGGTCAAGGTCACTGGTACTTAATATAAAATGGGTTATTAAATCAAAGTGCATTGAGCTGGGAATTTCAAAATTTCTATGTAGATGTACCTTGATGTCATACTCACCTCATCCATTTTGGGTTAAAAGGTCAAAGGTCACTTTTTGGGTCAAATTTCACTGACATTTGCAGTCAACTATTTAGCATTAAGAAAAGTGAAGCTCCTTGCTCCTTTGACAACTTTTGTTTTACATTTTATAATGTAAGATTGAAAAAAAAATGAATTTTAACTAAATAATTTGTTTTATTTTCTCTTTTTCATGTATCTGCAGGGGGTATGTTTGCTTATTGTTTTTAGTATTTTATTTTTTCGAAATTTCCATATGATACTTTTACACCTTTCATTTTATAACACTGCCATTTGTTGTTCTACTCATTTGCTCGTTCATAAAATAAAAAAAAATGAAATAATGCACAGAAGGGCACCTGAGGTCTTCCTCCACCAGTAAAGCTTGAAACTTGCCATATGGCCTATACTATGTTGGTGTAATGTAAAACCCAACAAAAATGAAAAAAAAGTATGACAGTGTTTTGTTTTGTATGTTCTTTATGTAGTAAGTTTCTGATGAAGATATTAAAGTAAACACTAGTTATGAATATGTTGCTGTGGTACTTTAACTTATTAATGTTTTTCAAATTTTTTTTAATCCACGTACACATTTTATTAAAAATTTGTCAAATTCTTTTATTTATATACATATTTTTTAATTGAAAAGTTTATAGTGTTTTATATTTACAGTTTATTTAAGACTATTCAAAATAAAGATAACGAACGTACAACATTCTCAATATTTATTTTACTTCGCATATGTTTTGAATCGACAGATCATAATACGATATTTAAATGAATTACTAAAATGTTGGCATATATTGGCCGCTTACCTATGGTAGGTTAGGCGTAGATGCTCCTACCACAAGTGTTTCTCTCAACCGAAGGTGATCAGGCGTCATTAGCATGTTACAACCCCAATACTTTAGAAACCACACAAATATGCAATGCAACGACTTGAAGCAACTCAAGCTAGCAAACGCACTAAACAAACGCTAATAACTAGTCACCAGCGCATTACCTCTAGAGTCTATCCAACTACGTGATCATAGACCTCAGCTCCCCACGGTAACATAATGGTAACCACTACCAACGTAAAGAGAAGAGAAACTATGACCACGCAGTTAGATATGTGGATGTGCCAGGGAGGTAATAGTGCGCGACACTGACTTCAATTAAAGCTATACAACGCAACAAACGCCTGATCTCCTTCGATCGGTATAATTTCATGCCAAAATAAATTCCTATTTATCCCCCAAATTAAAAAGAACCTTAGGAACTAGTATTCTTAATTATTGCTTCTTTTAAATAATAAAGGTAAAACTCCAATCTGACGTCAATCGATGAACCCCATCATCACGAAAAAAAATTTGCCTCAACATCAATGTCTGGAGAAATAACGTCAGTTTTCCCTGTAAATTTGATAAATTGTCTACCCAGACGATTGATTCGTTTGCATTTGGCTTCAAACGGTTTGTTACTATGAGCCCCTCTCCAGACCCTCCGTGGCAAAATATCCAGCCATATTAAGGTCGCTTGCGGGAAGACCTCACATAGGTAGCCAACTTCAGACTCCATTATTCTTTTAAGCTTTATTAAAGAAAGACTCGTTAAGTCATTAACGACCTAGATGGATGATGATGATAGATGGTGGAGAAGATAATAAGACTTGTGTTTGCACTGAATGTCTGAATGATGCCCATCTCAGCCCTCTAACACCCCACCAAGCTATGGTCTTGCCTTGTATACTTAAGTTGACCTTTCCAGTTGACTCAGCTCGTTTTCCAGCCCAAAACGGAATGGAATCACCAATCACCTAGATGTTGGTGTTATCCTGCAGGAACCTGCTATCTTCCCCACCAATATCCTCTGACTCTGGTCTCGAGCCACATGCCACCACGTGCTCCGTGTCTCCAACACAAGCTTCCTCTGCGCTGTGCTTACGCCCCCTTGTAGTTGGCGGATCATTTTGTTGGCGTTCGTCTTTTCGCTCTACCCTGAGTCGCCACTCTTCCTCGTCCTGCATCTCTTTGCTTGCCTCTACCTTGAGGCATATTTAATAGTTAAGAAATATTGCTAATGCAAAGTTTTCCTCTGTCCAAGCGTGTTGAGCCGTCGATTAAAACTAGCTAACTGAGAGCGCTGCACGGGATTTTTATGCTATATCAACTTTACTACTTGAGACCGTTTCCTAAACACACATACATAACATGCGATCATTTTAATGGGAACCAAACATATGAATGTATCTATAAAACAGAAAGATCACATGGTTATTTCTCAAGCTTAATAAATGAAATTATTTTTATACAAAATAATTTATATTATTTTTCTTCATTATATATTTATACAAAATCTGTTGTTACTTTTTCTTTCCATATTTGATGATGTCTTACTTCACATCACTTTTGGATCTCTCAGTATGTAAGTATAAATGCTACATTATATAATATACTTAATCAATTGATTAATTATTTATGTTTTAATAATATGACCTATTGTTCATCATGGGCAAATGTTAAATTTTTCAACAAATTAATATGAGCCTCCACGAACCACTTAGTTTGACACTTATAACAAGTAGTACTTGTCAAGTACTGATAATTTATGTATTTGTGTTAAAAAAAATGCCTTGTTATTATATATATATATATATATATATATATGTAGTCACTACAGGTTTGATTTTGTTTACATGAAAAGTTGATTAATCAAACTACTTTCAGTTCTTTTTGTGTCCAAATTAAATTGATATAAATGTGCTTTGAATGGACAGTAGTTTTATTGGTTTGCATAAAACTGGGTGAAAAAAACATTAGATATCAATGTAAATTTTCATATACTGTTGCTTTAAACATTACGATATTCATCATTACTTATTATTCTATTATTACAAAAACTGAATAATAATTTATTCTTTTAAACCATACAATATAATAATTATCTTTTTACACCATACAATAATATAATTATCTAGCATCATATTGGAATTAAATTATTTACATCATTAAATACTTATATTTTTTACAGACTGCGTTACATTGGGCAGCAAAGAAGGGAAAACCTGAGGTTATAAAAATGTTGTTAAGCAAACCAAACGTATATGTAAACCAAAGAACAGTAAGTCTTTGAAATATTTCGTTCAAACTTTCTTTTATGCAAATGAAGAATAATAATTTTCAGTTTATTTTTTTAATAACAAACTTGACAGTATTGTTGGTCAGGATGTGAAGTTGTGAACCTGGAAGAATCTGGGCTGTGGGCATTTGTGTTTACCAAACACGTTCTTGTTCAATAAGTTATCTTTCTTTAACACCAATTTGATAAATGGCCAATATTCTTTGTATCAATTTAGAGTTTCTGTTTGCATCGGGTCTTGTTACAAAAAGTTATCTTACACTCCTTAGTGTCTGGATGAGACTTTGTTTGCTGTCAACAGTGAAATAGGGTGCATTCTTAGTAAGACACACTGTTAAATGCCAATGAAAATTAAATTCTTGACTGCCAATATTGTTTTATATTTGTATTTTATCCTTATAGTTATATTAGTGTTGAATGAGAAATTAGTAGTGACCTGTGTAGTCGTGACCTTAATTAACCGTTATTCTGCTGATTTTCTTTACTGGACTTGTCCAGCTTCCTTTCTGGAACTGTCCATTATCATTTTTGGGGTTATCAAGATGACAAACTTAAGATGGTCAGCCACACTGTTATGTCTGTATGTGCAGACTGACCCTGGCTCTATACTGAGGGCAAAGGCTTGTCACTTTCCATCCCAGCAGTGGAAGGGTTAACTGAGGATCTATAAAGTATGTCATATTGAGAAAATATGTATTTTTATGCCCCCGGGCATATAGTAATTGATCCGTCCGTCTGTCTGTTTGTCCGTACGTACGAGGTTAACCTAGAATGGCAAGTTCTACCTGTACCAATGGCTTCTTAGTTTACACACTTACTAATCAATACAAAGTACATGATCTGGTCAAGTTACATAACTATGGCTTCCATATTTACCAAGTTATTGCCCTTTTCAGCACTTAGAAAATGAATAATGGTTAACCTAAAACGGCAAGTTGGAAATATCTGAAGTGCTATCTATACTGATGGCTTCATAATTTCCACACTTACTTATCAATACAAAGTACATGATATTGCCAAGTTATATAACTGTGTCATCCATATTTCCCAGTTATTTCTCTTTTTCACTTTATAAATAGGGCCTTGTCTGGTTAATCTATTCCGGCAAGTTGGATTTTGCGTAAATTTCTCTTAATTGCTTGATTTGTTTAATGATATATTGCATATTTGGTAGGTGGATACCTTTAATGGTCCTCTAATTTTTTGTGGAGTAAGTGGTCTCTAGGGTCAAAGTCAAGGTCACTGGTTTAGAAAATAAATTTAAACATGTTTGCTCATACAGCCTTTATTTATTGACAGATATATTTCATATTTTGTAGATATAACTTGCATGGTATTCATCATTTTAATTGGGGTAGGGATCAGTGGGTCAAGGTCACTTGTGCTAAAAATAGATTTTTACACTTTTGCCCATACAGGCTTTATTTATTGACAGGTGTATTTCATATTTGATAAGAAGATAACTTGCATGGTATTCTTCCTTTTGATTGAGTTAGGGATCAGTGTGTCAAGGTCACTAGTGCCAAAAATAGATTTTTACACTTTTGCCCATACAGCCTTTATATATTGACAGATATATTTCATATTTGGTAGGAAGATTACTTGCATATTATTCTTACTTTGGATGGAGTTAGGGGTCAGTTGGGTCAAGGTCACAGGTGCTAAAAATAGATTTTTACACTTTTGCCCATATGGCCTTTATTTATTGACAGGTGTATTTCATATTTTGTAGGAAGATAACTTGCATGATATTCTATAGGTGTCAGTGGGTCAAGGTCAAGGGTGCCAAGTATAGATTTCTTACATTTATATATATTTGATAAAGTTGAATATTTATCACTTCACAAGTCATAGCAATGACTTTGCAACTTATATATTTCACAATTACAAAATGCCATGACTCTGTCAAGCTATATAACTTGTGTTTACAATTTTTTTTTTTACAATGTTTCTGTCCATAACTGAGTGAATTAGTATACATTTTTTTGAAATATTGCTACTGACAATAATCGGAGCCAGGGGGATTCGTGTTTAACAAGCACGTTCTTGTTTTCTATTCAAATGTGTTAATAAATATTGTATTCTTTTTATTTTTCATAAATACATAGAATGTAAGTATACATTTATACCAATTATATCATTATCAAAATTCTAATTATGTAAATGATAGTTTATTCCTCAAACTTTTAAAAATACAGAATCTTGTACTTCTCTTTGTAAATTAAGGGCTTTCTTTAAAGAGTAAGTTAATTAAAAGTTAATTTAAGGTATTTCAACATTAATATGTTAAAGTTAACCAGCTAGTGACATAAAATCTTGTATCACTTCTACTTCAAAACGATACACTTGTGCAAAATTATTTTAGGCTAGGTGTTAACAGTAATTAATTACGATTATGTTTTTTTTTTTTTTAGCTCACCTGTCACAAAGTGACAGGGTGAGCTTTTGTGATCGCTTTTCGTCCGGCGTCCGTCCGTCCGTCGTCCGTCCGTCGTCCGTCCGTAAACTTTTGCTTTAAATGACATCTCCTCATAAACCACTGAGCCAATTTCATCCAAACTTCACAGGAATGTTCCTTTGGTGGTCACCTTTAAAAATTGTTCAAAGAATTTAATTCCATGCAGAACTCTGGTTGCCATGGCAACCGAAAGAAAAATCTTTAAATATCTTCTTTTAAACAACCCTAAGAGCTAGAGCTTAGATATTTGGCATGAAACATCTCCTAATGAGTGTCTACCAAGTTTGTTCAAATAAAAGCCCTGGGGTCAAAATTGGCCCCGCCCCGAGGGGTCATTGATTTTCCCTATATGCATATAGTAAAAACTTAAAAAAATCTTCGTTTAAAGAACCGTAAGAGCTAGAGCTAAGATATTTGGCATGAAACATCTTCTAGTGAGTGTCTACCAAGTTTGTTCAAATAAAAGCCCTGGGGTCAAAATTGGCCCCGCCCCGGGGGGTCATTAATTTTCCCTATATGCATATAGTAAAAACTTAAAAAATCTTCTTTTAAAGAACCCAAAGAGCTAGAGCTAAGATATTTGGCATGAAACATCTTCTAGTGAATGTCTACCAAGTTTGTTCAAATAAAAGCCCTGGGGTCAAAATTGGCCCCGCCCCAGGGGGTCATTGATTTTCCCTATATGCATATAGTAAAAACTTAAAAAATCTTCTTTTAAAGAACCCAAAGAGCTAGAGCTTAGATATTTGGCATGACACATCTTCTAGTAAGTGTCTAACAAGTTTGTTCAAATAAAAGCCCTGGGGTCAAAATTGGCCCCGCCCGGGGGGGGTAATTAATTTTCCCTATATGCATATAGTAAAAACTTAAAAAATCTTCTTTTAAAGAACCGCAAGAGCTAGAGCTTAGATATTTGGCATAAAACATCTTTTAGTAAATGTCTACCAAGTTTGTTTAAATAAAAGCCCTGGGGTCAAAATTGGCCCCGCCCCAGGGGGTCATTGATTTTCCCTATATGCATATTGTAAAAACTTAAAAAATCTTCTTTTAAAGAACTGTAAGAGCTAGAGCTTAGATATTTGGCATGAAACATCTTCTAGTGAATGTCTACCAAGTTTGTTCAAATAAAAGCCCTGGGGTCCAAATTGGCCCCGCCCCAGGGGGTCATTGATTTTCCTTATATGCATATAGTAAAAACTTATAAAATCTATGCATATAGTAAAAACTTATAAAATCTTCTTTTAAAGAACCCAAAGAGCTAGAGCTAAGATATTTAGCATGAGACATGTTCTAATGGGTGTCTACCAAGTATGTTCAAATAAAAGCCCTGGGGTCAAAACTGGCACCGCCCCGGGGGTCATTGATTTTCCTTATATACATAGCAAAAACTTAAAAATCTTCTTTGAAAAAACCCAAATAACTAGAGTTTAGATATTAAGCATGAAACATCTTTAAGTAAATATCTACAAAGTTTGTTCAAATAAAAGCCCAGGGGTCAAAACTGGCCCTGCCCGAGGGGTGTCATTGTTTTTAACTATATGTGTATAGTAAAAACTTAAAAAATCTTCTTTTAAAAAACCCAATGAGCTAGAACTTAGATGTTTTGCATGAAACATCTTCTTATGGGTGTCTACCAAGTCTGTTCAAATAAACAAATAAAAGCCCTTGGGTAAAAATTGGGCCGGGGGGGGGGGGGGCTATATACAGGTGAGCGACCTCAGGGCCATCATGGCCCTCTTGTTTTGATACATGTGAATATGCTTTTCTTTTCATTTTTCATACAATACTTGAATTTACTATGCTGATTGGATTTTTATAGGGGGTAAGTTATTTTATATAATGTTATCACATGTCTGTCAGTATACTGTGGATGTCATTTGCTTTTATACGGTCCCTGTATGAAATGTTTGATTTACTAACATTAAGTAAGACATTATCACTTTCGAATAAAATTTTTGGCATAAAATGTATTAAAAAAATATTAAAATATTGTGAACAAAGAAAATAATAATAAATATATCAAAATAAGCAAAAATAGCTTTTACTGCATTTGTAACCCAGAAGAAATATTGTGATAAATACTGAAAAGTCAGTAGTCCTTAATTGCACAAAACATGTAAATTATTACTTGAATCTTAAATCATTAAACTTTCCTTAAAATCTTCGTACATTTTTCTCAGTTTAATTTTCTTGAAATGTTTTGGCTTAACTGTAGACATACAGCTTAAAAACATATAATTGAGCCGCGCCATGGCAAAACCAACATAGTGCCTTTGCGACCAGCATGGATCCAGACCAGCCTGCCCATCCACTGTTCGCTTACAAACCCTATTACAAGTAGGGAAACTGATAGCGAACAGCATGGATCCTGATCAGACTGCGCGAATGCGCAGGCTGGTCTGGATCCATGCTGGTCGCAAACGCATGATGTTGGTTTTGTCATGACGCAACTCATATAAGAGGACTGTGGTATATATATATATAGGGCTATAACATAATTGGTATATATTTACAGGGCTACACACCTCTCCATTTAGCTGCAATACAAGGTCATGAAGCTATCATTGAGTTACTGACCAAAACATATAGTAAGTTTATATAGATTTATACAGTAAGTTTATATAGATTTATACAGTAAGTTTATATAGATTTATACAGTAAGTTTATATAGATTTATACAGTAAGTTGGCATGTTTTACCTATATAAAAAGAGGTGTCTGTATGTTATATATCTACTTCAAGTCCTGTCTAATTAAAGCTGTTTAAATTATTATCAGAATAGTTGTGGAAGTTGGCAAAATTATTGTCAGCCATGGTGTTGGATGGCAAATACCTTTAACAAGATGGGTCTGTTGTCATAGTTAAGGTTGTTGACTATGAATTATTTGCACCACAGGCTGCTGGGGGGATGAAACTTTGTGGGTTCTACTTTTGTCACACTGCCTGACAATGCAGGGAGGTGCACTTGAAGTCTTAGCCTAATAGCCATGGGATAATCTACCCATGCAACCAGTTCTGGCCACTACACTACACTGTTTGCTATTCAGTTAGTACATATTTCAAAATTTTCCATAAAAATTATGAATGATTTTGTCCAGAGTGGAAGATGGACAATCTGTTTAAGATTATTCAGCATGGTAATTGTTAATAAAAGCAAGAATTTGTTTCATTTGTATAACTTCTTGATATATGTAATACAAATGTATCTTTCCTCCAGGATGGAAACATTAGTATTTTACCTGTATCAAAAATTATAATTATTGATGTGTTAAAAAGGTAACAAAATGAAAATTTGCAATTTGATAATTTTACAGATGCTGATTCCAATATAAGAGATTACAGCGGTAAGAAGGCCAAACAGTATCTAAGCAATTCAGCTTCGAGCCGAGCGCAACGTAAGTCAAAGTCTTTTACGGCATCTTTGAACGATTCCACTGACAGTCCGGTAATGACCAGTATCAATTTACGAAGTAGCGGAGATGCAAAAACTGTAATTTTAAGAAACAAGCCCAGTCTAGCTATTAGCCCACCTTCAGATTTTAGAAAAGTTAAAAGTGAACTTATAAGCTCACCAACAGATTTTAGACATGTGCAGAGTGCTAATTTTAGTAACCAAATCGGGGGATTCGGAGGTGGTTCTCTCCGTGCATCTGTTCGTGTTGAACCTGTTTCACCTTCGGAGACCAGTTCGGTCTCGTTAAAGGATAATACTCGAAATTCTTCATATTTATAAAATCTTATTTTATACATGAATACTTGGTTAAGTTTGCAGAGCATTAAATAGTTGTGTTTTTTTTTCTTTTGGAGAAAGGATTTATTTATAAAGCAAAGAAGATTATGACGTTTTGTCATATAAGAACCATGATAAAGCTTGATACATTGTTATTAATGTTATAACATACTTTAACATTCCACACTTATTTAGCATTAGTCACAGGCTGTTGTTTAAAACATGAACATTTGTTTGTGAAGTGCTGTTTTGGTTTTGGTCAAAAAGTTGTTACTGTAGCACATTGGTGTACCCTTTGTTAGTGTGCACATTGTCAATCTGTCTGTATGTCAACTGTCTACTGATCTCAATTTTATTATGTACAACCCTAGCTAGTAGTGTTACTTGGAAAGGAGATAGTTGAACATGTGAGGGGTATTTCAAGGTTAAATTGCATTAATGTTGACCTTGAAGTAAAACCTACACCATACATGAATCTATTTGTTTAAGGTGAAGGTCACATTTAAAGATTGTAAGGGAATTATTATGTACCATGTGACGACTGTAAATCAACTCAGTATTGACTGGCTACTATAAGTTAGGGAGATGAAACTGTATTATATGTATCTTTTTGATGATCATAGTTCCAAGGTCACACTTGAAGGTCAAAGATAACTTGTGATAAGAAGCACAAGGTCATATAGTGTAAAATTATGCCTTGAAATGAAATCGTCGTAAGTTTTCCATTGTATTGACATTAAATTTAACATATAGAGATATTTTAAAAGATACATAAAAAATTAACTTGTGTTATATAAGTTTTTATAGGAAAGTTGCGCTTTTTACATTCCAAAATGGGCTAACAGTATTTATTTTTGAAAAGCTGTCACATAATTATGTATATATGTGAAAATGTTGGGTTTTTTTTATTGTTGTTGATTTCGTCTAATGGACAAAGTCTTTAGATATCATAATGGTTATCATAAAATCTATTTAATTTAAAAACAAAACTATAACGAAAAAAATCATTATTAAAAGAATATTCGCTTGAACAGAAATTCTCTAAGCAGGTCAAATTACGACAGTTTAAAATAAAATATAAATGTTAAAATATTTGTGTAATTAAATTATTTTTTAAAAATTAGTACAATGTATTGAAGTCAAAAGTAAAGTGTAATACAGTATTTGTAGGGTATATAAAAGTTTGTGTGAACATACAATAGATAGAAACTTAACACGTTTTTTAAAATTGGGCTAATAAGAGTAGCGGCTCATATGCTGTCTTGGATTAACTGAGGCACTGTGTTGTTATACATTATACATGTATTGTTATGGTTTTTTGTGATCTTTTTGTTAAATCATATTTATTTTATTTCACTTGTTAATCACTTATTTATAGTTTAATTTTATTCATATTTTATGCATAATTTATTAGCTGACTCAAATCTGCTGCATATTCCATACACTATTTTTATTACTTTTTTATTAGAATTATATAGATTTGTTGTTTTTCTTACCAGGAATGGACATATTATTGGATGTTATTTGCATGTATTGAGTTGATTTTGATAAAAGGGTGGTGTCAAATAGAAAAAAAAAACAGATGTTGAAATATACAATATTGAAGTTTAAATTCCACTAAGTAATCCCAATGGGGACATTTGATTTTTTCCTGTGAGATTTTCTAATGTTTTGATATTTTGAACAAATAACTCTGTGTAACCAAATAAAAGATATTTATGATTTGGGTGATGGATTTTCTTTCATAAATCAAGTTGTTACCAATATCAACATTGCAAATGGCATCCAAAAAACTCTTTTTTTTTAATTTTAACTTTGTATATGAATTAATATGATTTTATTTACAGAGCTTTACTCAATTTCATTATTAATATACAAAATGTTATTTTATTTATGATCTTATTTACAGAGGTATATTCGATTTTATCTATATGAATTGATTGAATTCATATAATTCTATTTATGGCTTTATTTATAAATTCTGGATTAATTTTATTTATGAGTTTATTTATAGCTTTAATTATTATATTTTCTGGTATATATTCTATGATGAGGTAATGGTTATATTGTAGGTGGCAGCCTCGTGCTGAACCGATCGAAGAGCCTCCAGTTTGATAAGTCAGACAATCTTGAAAAACCTGGTACTCTATAAATATTCTAAAATATAAACATATTCAGAGTAAATAGATCAAGTTTACAGCAAGTTTGATTCAATAGATATAAACAGAATCAATGTTAGGAAATAACAAAAGCAATGTTAGGAAATAGATAGGTTAGATTGCTGCAGCTTGCAAATTCAAAGATAAGTAGAAATTATGATAAAACAAAGTATATGGTTTAATTGAAAGGATAACAAAACCTGTCTAAGGTATATAATAACCTTAACAAAGAAAAGTATCATAATGGACTTTTCCAGTTTTTAATTTATTGTCAATTTTTAGGGATGTTAGGATCAAAGTAAGATAGCACTGATAAGCCGTCTGGCTTAGCTTTATATAGCTGGTGTATGCCTGCTTTAACCAAGCTAATGCTGTATGTGGTTTCCAATTGAAGTTCTAAATATATTTAATTAATTTGTTAAGCATTGAATTTGAATCTTTCCATGATTTGGAGATTTCAATATCAATTAGTTTAACCCATTACTTCATATACACGTCTTTTAACGCCTTTTTCACCCCCCCCCCCCCTCTTTTTGTTGTCTCAAATGGTGAAAAAGTGCCTTATTTAGGCCCCAAACACTTGTTTTTGTTTGAGAAATGTTGTTAAAAAAAGTGACCACTTTTTTGGCGCGGCCCCCCAACCAAAAGATACATCAGGCGGTTGCCAGAAGGGGGATGTGCCCCCTTCTGTTTGGGGGGTTTGAAGGGGGCGGAGTCCCCCTCATCGCCAAGAAAATTTTGGACTTGTGAGAGGCTATAAATGACCTCAGATTGATCATAAGGTAACGTGTAACCAACGCTGAAAAGCATTTGACTGTATCTCAATCCATTGAGAAGTTGCAGCACTTATGATGGAAAAAATCAACTCAAAATAGTGATTTTTGGCAATTTTGAGACGTCCCCTCGTTGCCATGGTAACAGAAAATTTAAGCCTGAGCATGTTGTTGCAAGGGCAATGGTCCAGTCAACATTTGTGCCAAGTTTGATTAGTGTTGAAGCAGTTTTTATAGTATTATAGCAATTTGAACTTGTAACGGGAGACTTTTCAATGAAAACAGCCATTTTTCACAAAATGCTCATGAAGTAATGGGTTAAAGAAAATCACTAAAAACCAATATAGATTATTATATTAGTGTCTATTTCACAAATTGTTAAATTATTATCCAACTTTTTGAGGGAATAGACACTTCTTTTCAAGGACCTATCTGTTACAGATTTCATTGAAAGAAATCTGTTTTTCTTGGCATTTAAATTAATGATTTATATTGTAGAAATTGATGTTTATTAATTATTGAGCCTAGCCAGGCTAAACAGCTGTTCTTTCTAGCTTGGTTCTATACTGATTACCTAAGAAAAATTCTGAAATTGCTGCTAGCACTGCAAAGTTGAGCAAATAGTTCGATACTGGACATTTCGCTGAATGCAAATGACTGATTTTAAAATATATAAAAAAATTGCTCAGATAGGACATAGATGTAATCATTTTTAAGTAGGTTTTTAGAAATTAAACAATGCTAGGGTAATGTGTAGTTGCTGATGAGGGATGGAGATGGGTTGTCTAGAATATATTACAATCAGTAGATATTGGGGTTGTTACTATATATAGAGTACCAGAGACTAGATGCTAGTGAATGTCTGAAACAAATATAATACATGTATATCTTAATATCTTAACCTGCGGAATATGTGAAATGGATTTGCTCTACTTTAAATTTGAAACAGTCCAGTGAAAGTTTATTTGATTTTTACAATGAAGAAATAATGAAAAATTGAGCTAGCTACAATATAGAGCGCGGTCAGACTGCACAGACGTGCAGATTGGCCCGGCTCTATACAGGTTGCAAGGGCTAGTCACGTTTGTTCCCGCAGGTTCAGGACTAGAATCAATACGTTTCCTACATTTATAAATGTATTTTTCCTCCTTTTATCTTCATAACTTTTCAGCCTTTTAAAATAAAACATTTTCAGAAACTTACTTGTGAACTAAGACATTTTTGTTTGAAGGCCTTTTGTTCCCTATTTTTGTTGTTGATTCTTAGCTACACTGAAGTTTATTCTTGCATATCAGACTGGCGTTTCCGTTAGTTTTACCCATGCCGGAAATTTTCATCTGGCATGGGGGGTTCCAGATGAGTCGCATGCTGTACAATGGCACGATAAAGATGACGTCATTTTACCGTTATGAATGATTTTGTAATTCATACACTGTTGAATGAAAGTAGTTACGGTTGTAATGATATAAATTTTCATTGAAAATAAAGATAAAGAATTTAAATATAATGGAATATGGTAGAATATGCAAGAAAAAATATCTGACATATGTTTGCGGTTCGGATCGGAATATCCGTCCCGAGGTGATCCGCCCATTGGGCGGTAACGAGGCTTGCCGAGCCTTTATATGGCAAGCCTCGTTACCGCCCAATGGGCGGATCACCTCGGGACGGATATTCCGATCCGAACCGCAAAATATGACAGATATTATTATAATGCATTGCAAGTACACCTCTAATGGCAGGAAATAAACTTTTATACCTGTTTTTTTTATTGTTTAATCTTGTTTCATTTCTTCTGAAATGTTTCGACTTCCATCTCGCAAAAATATCTGAAATTATACATCTGTAAATCAACTACTATTTTATATAAAATATCTATTTTGTTCTGTAGATATCTTAGGCTTTATCTCGGTTTCAGTGTAGTTTTAGATTCAATTATGACTTGTATGAAATAGGGTAGAACAAAGGTCAAGGTCACTTTGTAGTATGTCACTTTTTGCCATCTGCTACATTTTTTAAGAAACAGGTGAAATAATTTTACCATATTAATTATTTTGACATAGAATGGTCCCTGATTTATGTTACTCTGGTTTTCTCATTTAAGTTGTGTTTACTTTTGTCATAGACTGTGAGATGTTCAGGCTGGCCTGACTCTGTACTTTGAGTACATAGGTCATTATTGTCTCCAACATTGAAAGGTTCCATAAATAGTGTACAAGCATGGGGACAGTTTAATCTGTCATTGTTTTCATAGATAATTATAGAAATAAAGCTTTAAGTAATTTGTTACTGATATGACAATTAATTTTGTAATAGTTTTATCCAAAGATTATCTTACAGTTTGTATAAGTTACAGTACTCAATGTAATAAAATGATGTAAATTTCTCCTAGATTATATAAAAGTAGTTATAATGAATACAATTTTGTTTCCATGCTTAATTTCATGATTATGTTTAAATGAAAATTAATGTATACATGTAATTATTATTATGTTGATATATTTCTGAGGAGTTTTAGTCAGTTTGAAAGGTAGCTGTAATATGATTTGAAAAAGAGACCAGTCTACAAATAAAGTATTTTGATTGGTCAGATTTTGAATTCCTACTGAGTGACAGCCAATCAAATGCTGACATTCAAATTAAGACTGGTTCCCAGACATTATATTAATATGAATGTATATGATAATAAGATAATAAGATTGAGAACAATTCTATTTCAGATGTAATGTCTCTAGACAAACGTAAGAGTAATATATACATGTAATGTACCTGCCGCGAGGAATGTTTGGCTGTAAATGCTTGAAATAACTTCTACCATCTGTCAACATCAATTTATGTGCTTTTCTTTTCTGGTACATTGTTCTGTCATCGGGGGCAGTGTGAAAGGCTGATGATGTGTTGTTGTTTTAATGATTTACAGCACAATTTTTAAAGCTTTGGGTTAAATTGATCACTTTGAGTTTAATTTTAAATGTTGAAATGATAAAAAAAAATTTGGTTGTTGTTTTAAACTGGCTTTGGACTTAAACCATTAATAAATTTAAAGTTAGACTTTTTCCTGTTTTCATCATGACATATTAAGATTACATAATGTATGCTTTTTAGATCTTTATGTGCTATCTACCAGTACATGTTCAAGTAGGACAAAAATTGTTTACCAAGAAAGAACAATTTTAAGTTAAAAGTTTTTAAAAAGTCTAGTTTGTTGATGAATGCATTAGTTAGTGTTGCAGCAGAGCATTATAGTATCTTAATGATCACATAGAGTAACTTATGACAGTGCATTGTTGAATTAATATCATAAATATTTTAGATATATCATGACCAATGTCAGAATCAGAAAACTAGCACATAAATATGATTACAATAAACACTGATTGTGTACCCATTATACATGTGTTAACTGTTCGAAACTTTTTATATATCCATTCATACACATTGTTTCATAGAAGTGCACTATAGTCATATAAGATAATATAACAATTAGTTTAGTTACAGGAATGACTTGCGTTGGAGATAATTAAAGGATCATGAAAAAAGGATTTAGAAGTTAGTATAACAGTAGATTAATCATGCAGCTTGTTCTAGGCTCTAGTGAGCAAGTGGTAAAGGTTGTTGACTTTGAATTTGACTTTGACCCACTCACTCTGAGAGTTAGAATCCTTTTTGAGACTTTGAATTCTGTCGTGCAAGGAAGTTCAGATCTCTAGGTGGTGGCATGGCCGAGGGGTTTAAATGTGTCAGACTAGAACTCTAATAATTGCTAACCCCTTGGTTGAACAGTCCCTAGAGCAAGCTGTTGAGCAAGAAATTTTACACTTGTTGATTGCAACTTGCTGGCTCCATGAATTGATTTGAGAGTGTATTTATAAGCTGATAGTTTCCTACACAGTCAAAGTAAAATCAATTCTGTAAAAACTAAATCACCACAGAATATTTCTTATGAGGAAGCTTTGCTGTACAGCTGGCTTGCCAGTCTAGATACCCTATGTAGCTTGGTTAATTGCATGGAGGTACATTTTAGAACCTTATTCTATATTTTACATGAAAACATAAGATCTATTAAGTTGCCCTATGACCTGTATAGAATTGTTTTATAGTTTTAACTTAAAATGAAAGCAGGTACCACTCCCAAATCCCTATTTTCCACCTACACCCAATTCCCTCTTAAATAAGTATAAAACTGTACCAAAACATGTTGCTACAGCACAGATTGATCTACTGTTATATTAACTTATATACTATATACCTTCAGTTGTTCAAAAAACCTTGCATTAAAATTCCTAGAAAAACATGTAAAGTAACAAGTAGACATATTCCTTTTGAAACATGACTTTTATTCTTATCAACATATTATAAAATTATTAATGAAGTTTAAGAAATAGTTTTTTCATCATCAAAGTTATTATGCCATTCAAAACATCACCTGCCCCTACCCCATGGGGTAAAAAAAGTATTTTATGTTAAATTTCTATCAAAAATACCTCAAAGAGTTCAGACAGAGTTATCTCATTTTCTGTCCTAGACACATTGTTATAACAGTAGTTCCGATTTAAATTTTCAAACTTATCATATCAATATAATATTATGATATATGACCATTAGTTATATGACCAGCTGAAGGTATATATATATAAGTATAGCATGAATGAAGATGATGATGTGTGGACTGTATTATCACTATAATCATGCTCATGTACCTATATTGATATGTGATTCTACATGAAGGATTCTCTGTTATTCACATTCTCAGTTATTCACATGAATCTTGCTCTTTTTCACATAATTATAATCATGATTTCACATTTTCACAATATCACATTAGTTGTTAGGAAAAGATGTCTTAGATTTTGCTTTTTTTCACATTTGTATGATTTCACATGATTTCCATAAGACTTCATATTTATTTCAAATTTCTATGATTTCACATCATCAGTGTAAATAGAAAAAAAAATCTGATTGAAACTTTACATTTATTTCATATGGAATTCACATTTTTCACATGAAAATGAAAAATGTAATTTTAAATTAGTTTTAAAGTATCATTTGATAATAATAAAGTGACTTTTACTTTATCCTATATTTGTATTTGAGTTGAAATTTACAAACAAAACATTGAAGCTTTCTGCATGTTATCATGCATGACTTGTGTATTTAGAAATTTGGTATTTTGATTTCACAGCAGAATTTAGTAATTTTTTGTGCTAATTTCAGTATTTATTTTTTTTTTTTCAATTTGTCAACCCGTACGTGAAGCCAGGGTCTTTCAAATTTTCTATTTGAAAGACCCTGGTGAAGCTTGCTTGATAATTTAAATAAAAGTCTTTTTTTTCAATTTAATGATATGTTGTAGACATTATAGATAAACATAGGTTGACCACCTTGAATATTCGTGTACAGTTAGGAACATCATAATTATACTTGTAAAAAGCTCTTGTAGTGGTAATGTTTGGTTGGCTTATATTAATGCATGGGGTTGCTATAGTATCATAGCATGATTTATTTTCTATCACTGATCATAATTCTTCTCTAAATTTCTCATACATTTTATTGTCATTGATGTTAAAATAATGAAGTTTTTATATAATTTATATGTTATAACATCATATTTCATTACAAAGACTGCAACATTAACTTCATCAATTGTCTTGTTCATTTTTATTTTGTTATTCAATACTTAATAAAAGCTTTTGCTAAGCTGCTTTGTTAAGATGTTTTTCTTGAAAGCTAATTGCTTTTAAATCTTAAACTGGCACCTGATTTATATATATAAAAACTAATTTAAAGGGTATTTGAACCAAAGATAGTTTTAACTTTATTTCTTTTGAATATGAAATATATTTCTTTTGAATTTGAAATAGCCTTACTCTGCTTTGATTTTTGAATTGTATTTTAGTATAATTATTATTTCAGTATTTGAAGTTTTATTGGGAATCAGCAAATTTGCCTTTCACTGTAGCATATAATTATTAGGGAAAGAGAAAACATAAGATAATTGAACTTTTGATGTATTTTAAAAATCAAAGTATTTAGAATGTATAGACAAATCATGTGGACAATGTACATTAATTGTTTTAAATGCTTATAATGAATGTCCTGAGCTTTCTTGTCATTAGCTACAAATGATTGTAAAAGCTAGTATTAACCTCTTACTTTATGAACTATACATTTACATTCATACAATTACCACTAACACTCGGCCTGCTGAATTTTTTGTAATGGATTGTAGATTTGACCAACTTTGAATTTTGCACAGTCCATTCAAAGTTTAAGGGATTTCTAAATCAATGTACAAGAAATGAGCTAAGGATATGCAGGCTGGCCTGGCTCTATACAGGTGACCAAGGCTTATTCTTTTTTGTTCTAACTGATTCAGTGTTCATTATGTACATAACATTTTATATACTTACATTTATATGTTAATCATTGTAGTCGGCCATTTTGTTTTTTATTTAAGTTAAAAATTTTAGTCATAGTATTCAACTTATCATTAAGCTCATAGTCATTGTTTGTAAGTTATTTTTATTTTCTGTTATATAAGCAAATTAAAGAAACAGAAGTGATAAAATTTGTTTTATTATTTGTAACATAATGTGTGCCTTAATCACAGTATGCCAAATAAATTAATTAGTTGTATCTCAGCCCTGACATAATCAGTGTAAAAGACAACAAAATCATTGTTTTAAAGCTGCATGCCTCCAGATAAGCCAAAATATTTCAAAATAATCAAACTTAAGAATCATGCATAAACTTTTAAGAAACGTAGTTTCTAGTAATATTATGTTATGTGATGTGTGATTAACGACTGATTTTGCAGTTTTTATCACCACATTTCTACTTTCCTACTTTGTGACTATTGCAGAAAAGACTATTTTTAGCTCTTTTTTGTAATTTTCATAGATTGTAATTGTTGCTTGCAATCAATTACTTTCTTTGTTAATTGTTTACTTCACTACATTTTACTTTTAAAATACATTTTCAAAATTTTCTTGAAAAAAAAAAAAAATAAGCGTGAAATCTGGAGGCATGCTGCTTTAAGATATTTTGAAATTTAAATGATATATAAATAGAAGACTAAAAGGAACATATCTTCAAGAGTTAATTTATCTCTAGGTTTCCCAGCACTATTACCCAGTAATACCATAGTGTAAATTATTTTCAAAATTTCTGGCATTATAATTATGTTAAAAGCTTTAAATGAGCTTAGATTTAGATGCTTAAAAATAAAAATGGTGGTGTTTAGATGGTGTATTCTAAGCAAAGTCTTAGGGTAGTTTTTTCTGTAATGTTTTGTTAAAACTTTGCGAATTTTCTTAACAATTAAAATTACTGGTAAATATTTTTACAAGGCAAGCGCCTTAAATGAAATGATCTTTATACATGTCCAGTCATTGTGACCCGAAAAATTTGAATCCAGCAATAACATAATAAATTTAATATGCAAGCCTGGATTTGAAATTTATTTTAAAAATATGCTCTAATTATTTAAGTTATTCTTAAGTGTTAATATTCTTTCGGAAATTAAAACATGTATGACAGAATTTATATTTTAAAATAAAAAATGGATCGAAAGTACTCATTTTAATGAAATAGAGTGAAAGGAAAACATTTTAAAAATGTATGTATGTTAAATAGGAAATTTGTAAACCATTTTGTGCACCAAAATAGACCCCAGAAATGTTTAATGTTCACACAATGTCTTTTTTTGTATGTTTTTATTTTTTTTACTGCACCGCGGTGAGTTGAAACCACTCTGGATAAGGGGTTTTATTAATGGTGAGTACGATTTGCTGCAACTGTAGCCCTGTAAAGGCTTGGCTAGTACAATAGGGATCTCACTAAACACTGGGAACCAGACCTGTTGATTGCTTCTTTCATGGTTCTTTTTTTTTCTGCAATCTTGTTTTGACATAATTTCACTTCAGATTCTATTTTAAAGACTTATGTTTATGGATTTTGGTTTCAATTTGAAAGGGAGAGCTTATTTTGCTTGAGTTTTATTATGTCTAAATTCCAGTTCAGATTCTATTTAAAGACTTAAGTTTAAGTATTTTGCTTTCATTTTTAAAGGAAACACTTATGTTCTCTTCATGGGTAAATGCTCATAAATTGATACACAAAGACAGATTTCACATTTTGTTTGCATATTTTAAAAACAAATTCTGTGAATTGAAAAAAAAAAGAGATTTTTTTTTTCATTTTTTTTTCTGCTAGAAGGCATTTTTGAGATAAGCATGTAGAGCATGGCTTTATGAAGGTGTATACAATAAGATTAAAATGTACAAAATGTATAGTAAAAATTATCTAGGAAAATATTCCAAATTTAGAATGATAAGATCCATATGTCTTTGAGATGGAAATATACTGGTATTGATTTTGTATGGCTTAATTGTTTAATGTTTTCTTGATTGGAAAAGAAATGCAAGCTTTTATTTTGAAAATTTGAATTCATAGAAAGTATATTTTCAGCCTAATTTGTGAGACTAAGTTGTTAACAATTTGGGTTTCAATATTTTATGACTATATTAAATTATTCTATATTTTGGCCATTGATTAGATGCAGAATATTTATTTTTCTGTCTACAAAACATAAAATTTGGGGAAAAAAGCTTGCATTTCTGAATTTAAAAGAGTTTGGCATTGATAAAATATAAACTAAATGCAGTCAACAGGTTTCTGTTTGTAGGCAAATATCAGGGCTTCTGTTTGTGGCATGTTGTTTTGTGACTGCACATGTATTATATATTCTTGATACACTCTTCTTCACATAATTACATTCCCACTTTCTCCTTTTAATATTTGCATTTTGTTTTCTTTTTCTTTAACTGGAATAATTGGTGCTATTCAAAAGTTATATGTATATGACAATGTGTATACCTAAGATTTCATTTTGGCAATTTTTGTTCAGTTATTGTGCCTCAGTCATTTTTAATAATCGGTTGCCAGAATCCCAACACAGATTAGTGAGGGAAACAAAAGCTTACATAGAACCTCTGCCATTGAATGACAATCATACACTGTATGTTAAACTGTAAAAATTCATTGCCCTGTGCATTAAGTGATGTCCCAGATATTTTTGCAACAAAAATCACAACACTGCATTGTCCCAGCTAGGACTGCAGGAAAGTGAAATATGACTCTCACCAACTGCTTATAGTTTAATATATCCAGTTTTTACAACATTTACAACCCTTGCCAAAAATTGGCAGCCATTTTGATGATCAATATTCTATAAAGTAAAATTGACAAAAAAGGAAAAAATAATAATAATAGAAACAGCTAATTAAGGTCAAATTAGGCAAATTGTCAAATTCTTTTATATATATTATTATATAAAGGAAAATATCATTAGCACTTTAAATACCTAAACTTAATAGATGATAAAATTGTGAGAATATTAATTAATCTATCTTAAGCAAAAAATGTATTGGAACTGAACTGATGTAATAAATGGCTGATACATATATAACCCCTGAAGATGTACATAATTCAAAGGATTTTAATGCAGCACTACGTATACATGTATTTATTATATAACTATATTGCAATGAAATACTGAATATGTTTCTTAATAGATGTATTTTTCACTTGTAACTTGAGATGTTGTGCTGAATTTTATTTGCATTTTTATATGTTCGATTTACATTATTACATTTTATTACCACAATAAGACCATTTCCCTGATTGAACTTGTCATTCTTTGAATTTGAACAGTCAGATGTAAATTTAGGGGATATCAGTTGCTAAATCATAAACTGAAAAACCAACAGGCTAACAGTATTAACCAAAAAAATTCTGTGGCATATAGAAGGTTTTATGTATTTGCTTAATGCAATATTAGCATATTGTACAAGTCAAGCCTGCATACAGAGTGTTTACACATGGTGTGTAATTAGCTTCTATGTAGATTTAGAGTGGTGTAACATAAAATCAATATTTTTATATGGATACAAAATACTGATACATATTTTATGGCAGAAGTTTAACACAGAAGATCTTATAATATTTTTTATTTTTACCATTTTGTGATAATTTGCACCCTAATAAGTTAATACATATAAATTAATTACATTGTAAATCCCCGATCCTGCACTCTCCTAAATATACCCTTTAGTTGAAGTGATCCAAAAAATATTAAAATGATCAATGTCACAAAGAAAACAAAATTAGAATATAGGCCTAATGGATTTTAATTTTGAAAATTGAGACTGTTCTGCGGAAAAAAAACTAATTTTTATTACCGTGTTAGGTTTACTTAGTTTTAAATTATCTTTTATATGACTTACCTTATAAGTAATTTTACCTCTCATATGCAAAACAATGTATTTAAATGATATTAAACTTGACTTGTTATTTGACCTTTAATTTACAGTGATTTGACCTTGAAATAAAAGTTCTACTGTGGCTCTGATGTATGCATGTTTATCCCTCTATAGTGTGTATTAATTGTAGCTATGTAGTAAAATCCCCATATCTCTCAACCATAGAACATGTATTTGGGTTCTCTTTATCTACATGTTTCGGTGGTTTTTAACCTTTAACCTGCTGAATTTATAGAATGGGCTGGCCAAGCTATGAATATGGAATAGTCCACTTAAAGTTTAAGGGATTTCAATACCAAAATTCAAAGATTGGACTTGTCTGGTCAGACAGTATACACATCCAGCCTTGCCTGGTACATTAGTACCAAAGGCTTAAATCACTTTCCATACTAGCAGGTTAAAGGTTAAAAAATATATTTTTTCCTGATTTTTTGTGTAATATTTACATCAGAGTCTTATGTATGCCTTAATATTGTCTATGTAGAAGGGTTGTAATTAGTGTGTAATACCCAACTGATATGTGCATATTTGCGTGTAAAGAGAATGTGCATTGTGTAATGTATAATGCATGATTATGGTGTGATTAGCTATTTGTAAATATTTTTAATATTAATGTATGCTCAGCTGGTGTTTTGTGTAACATTTAATATGTAAGCATATGTAATGGCTGAGTTGGATTTGAAATATTGAAAATCATTTTATAAACATATTCAATTTGTATTCTTGTCATGATTTTTAAAATAAGTAAGTGCTGTATATGCAAATGATAAAAATATAGATTGCATTTTTATTCTCAAGTACATGTATATTATTTTTGAGCATAATATTTATCAAATCTTCCATGTTTGTTCTATATGTAGACGCTAGAAAATTTTTCAAGTTCAGGCTGTATACCAGTCTAAAAAATGCAAGCATTTCATTGGTTATTTCAAATTTTAAGTCATTCTTAACCAGTTAGAGGCTAGAGTTTTTAGACTGGTATACAATTTTAAGTTTTTGAAGTACACTAAAATGATATTTCAGAAATGATACACAATATTCCTAAAATTTAAATAACAAAGAAGACATAAGAAATGGGTGATTGGGCATAAAAATTATCAAAATAATCACAGTAATATCAATGAATTAAATATCATTAATTCTGGTAAAATCAATCATAATTATCATTTCTGAAAGTATCTATATTGGCGAAAAAGTGTTGTTAAATATTTGATAAAGAAAGATGTAAGCTTACTTTAACATACAAATATTCTTCTTTTCAGAATTACTTGTGTCCAGTAAGCTTAGCTCAAAATCAGGTAATACTTTAGATTACTTCTAGTTTTTTTTTAACCCCAGCCCTCCCACCATATTGTTTTGTTGTCCAGTCTATACTTGTATGTCAATCTATTTGTTAATCTGTGAACACTTTAAACATTTGACTTTCTATAAGTTTTATTCAAATACTTTATATCTTTGGAAACAAAGTGCACCTACTATATAGGACTACATTTCCATTTAAATCTGACCTTGACTTACAGATGACCGGTCATATTTTTACTGCACGCAAGAAATTTCACCATTACTTGGTTTTATTCAGTATTTAATGAAAACTTGAACTTTGCTCATGGTGTAAATAAACTATTAGTAGAAAATGAACAACATGCATTTAGATTCAGACACTTAACGTTGAGCTTAATCATTTGCTGAGTTAAAAGCAGATATAGAATCATTTATAGAATGATATAAAAACAAACAATTTTGTTTTTTTAGGTAATGAAAGAAATGATAATGGATTTATGAGAAACTCGGGTAGCCGACGCAGTAATCGGGAAAGTGCAATAAAATCATTGATCCGTGCATCTACGGGAGCGATGAAGCAGACGGTGATGAGGTCCGGTTGGGGTTCTTCAGAAGATGTTATAAATGAGCGAACGCCGAAATCATCACCAAGAAATAGTGCCGAGCCGTCCCCAGTCATACAAAGGAGAAAAGGATCTGTATGTGTGTTAAGATTAATCAGTCAGTGTTATCTATTAAAGCGGCCTTCAGCTTTTTTTTCTGTTGGAAAAAAAATTCTTTGTTGTTTCAAACTAAGTATTTCTGATTGGAAAAGTACATTATATCACTGTTAAGCATTTTTGTATATCTGTTTGAGAATAAGATCTTTTATCCTTTTTCCTTTATGCAAGTAAAAGAATCAAACACCGACTGTGGTCACAGACGGGAATATCAAACTCTCGGGTAACTGTTTAGCGGAAACTTGGTAGAGCCTCAAAACCGTTACCATCAAACTAGATATTATGGTCTGCACCGGCAGCTGGTGTAAGATAATCTCATATTTGACATGGCAGATTGTACATTGTTTTTTTTAGTTTAAGAACAGTGATCGAGATCTGATGCCGCCACCAGGAGCCGGGTCAAGATACAGCAGCAAGTCAAATAAACATAAACATTCCATCAGTAAAGAAAGTCTTCATTCAGAAGATAAGAAACTCAGGTAATTATTCCAGTACTCTAGCATTTAATTTTGTGTCATTTTGTTGATACAGCATATGTAATTAAAGTAAGATCAGATGGACACTTGGTTAGGGTTCTCCAGGGCCTGGTGTAATTGGCCGCTGACTTGCCCCACTTTGATGTTAGTTTGAATACCGTAAAGGACTTTGGATTCTTTCATGTGAGGAAGCTATCCAGCTAGCTGACAGAAGTTTACGGTTCTACTGAAGTGCTGCTCGTGCCTGAAATAATGCATAAAGGGGCACCTGAGGTCTTCCTCCACTTGTAAAGCAGTATGACCTTTACAATGTTGAGGTGATTTAAATGCAAATAAAACAAAAATCCAATAGTTAAAATTTAGCATTTATCTTTTATCTAATTTTTACAGCGTGGTGAAACAGGTCCCTCGTTCGGAGTCAGAGCCAAATCTTGGTGAAGTTGTACAACCAAGTCGAACTACTTTCATCTGAGTACACTACAATAAATCTGAAATGGACATTAATGAAGCAATACATTCCATATTAACTGAGCAACAGCCCATTTGCATGCATGGATATATCAAATTTAACTCAAAGGTATGTTGGAAATAAAGCAACTTGGTATGTCATGGCCAGTATCATTGGATATTGTGTTAAAGATATGACCTGTATAAAAAACTGGGTAAAAATCAGAAAAGAATCAAATCAAAACAACTGTCCAAGATGTAATTATCAAACAAGGAAATATCTTGTTTGTGCTTGTTTAGGAAATACTCAGCTTTATTACTTTTTATTCCTGCCACATGATCAGGGACCAATATTGGACTGATGTTTGTTTTGATTTTTGTTGCTGAAGATGACCAATATTCTTGAAATATATTGGATTGGGACCAATACTGGTTTGATTTTGAATTTGTTAGCCAATCCATTGTTTATGTTAAGTTAAACTTCAGTGTATTCAAGAAAAATGGGACCAATATTTACCCAATGTTTATCTTTTACATTGTATGTAAAAAGTACTGTTATTGTTCGGAAGTTTCTATCTATTATAATTATTCCAAAAAGGGACCAATTATATTTGTTTGTGAATTTGAAATTAATTAAAGAGCCGATATTTGCTACAAGTTGGGACGAAAAATTGCCAGGAATTCTATTTTTATCACAATGTAAAAAACAATGCTGACTTAAAATTATGTTTTGAGTTTTACTAAAAGAAAAGGGTCAATATTTGAAGGACGTCACCAGAGAACAAAGGCTTAAATATTGACCAGAAATTTTATTTTATTGTAACATAGAGAAGGACCAACATTGTTTCATAGAATTTCTCTTGCTTTTGGTCAAGAGGTGCTTAAATTGTTATAATTTTCTCATTGATAAACAAGTAATGGGATAGATATAGGTAATTATTTTAAGGAGGTATACTAGAATGGATTCCATCAATTATCCTTGCTACAATACAAACATATTGTATACATTTAATTAAATTAGCCGGCCAGTGTTCACATTATATAATAATTTATTAAAATTCAATTATTAATTTTTGTATACATGTATTTGATTTATGAAGAATAAAGTGCCTTGTTACAATGTTATGTTTGGAAGCATAGATAAATGCACATGTATATTGGTTTTGAAAATGCTTTATTAAGATGAATGTGTTATGAAGGGAAATTAATTTACAACATAATCTTGAATATTTTTTTAAACAATTATTGATCCAAAACATTAATTGTGTGGATTTTTCCCAATAATGAAATGATGTTTTATATTTTAAGATTACAAGATTTGTTTATGTATTAAGGTACTTAATGCTAGTATTATTGCTTACTCAGCATATCCCTATTCATATGTTTACATTAATTATAAGCTAAAGGCATTACTTTATAACAAAAAAAGATATTATTATTTAATTTGTTGTTAAACTGCAGGCCATGTATTCTAGCGTATTTCATTTTGGCAGGCATTCTACATGTTACATTCCTGATGATTCCAGATCATTATAACATTTTGTTAATACAAGGAACATCGCAATGCGATGCAACCAGGTTTTCAGCAAAATATTTCACAGAAGCTTTGTCATGAAGGGGCATTTGTTTTCAATTGAACTTTTAGGAGGAATTATGGCTTTTTTAATATTCCTCAAACAAAAATGATTGAGAAATTTTATGTTGTCTATTCGCCTTTTTTTCCCAAATGTTTTAGAAAGGTAAACAGTACTTTATTTTTGCTTAATTTTTGCGTCTCTTGTCATTTTCTTTCGTCAACAATATTGGCGTGTGGTGTTTTGTGCGATATCAAGAAAAGTATGTTCAAAATTTTAAAAAAATACTTGAATGATGTCTTGGAAGAAACATGGGAATTTAGTGAGCGCCAGGGCACTTGATGAAAAAGCTTCTGTGAAAGTTTGGTCAAAATCCATTGAGAAATGTAGGAGAAGTTGCGCACTGTAGAAATTGTTCACTATATATTCTGTATAAGGAAAAAATATACAAAGGGCCATAATTCGGTCAAATATTATCCAATCACAAAACCCCGACAATATGTGCCAGGCACTTGAAAACAAAGCTTCTAAGAAAGTTTGGTCAAAATCCGTTGAGAAATGTAGGAGGAGTTGCGCACAGAAGAAATTGTTCACTATATATTCTATATAAGGAAAAAAAAACAAAGGGCCATAATTAGGTCAAATATATACCAATTGCAAAACCCTGGCAATATGTGTCAGGGCACTTGATGACAAAGCTTCTGAGAAAGTTTGGTCAAAATCCGTTGAGAAATGTAGGAGGAGTTGCGCACAGAAGAAATTGTTCACTATATATTTTATATAAGGAAAAAAAACAAAGGGCCATAATTAGGTCAAATATTATCTAATCGCAAAACCCCGACAATATGCGCCAGGGCACTTGATGACAAAGCTTCTGTGAAAGTTTGGTCAAAATCCGTTGAGAAATGTAGGAGGAGTTGCGCACAGAAGAAATTGTTCACTATATATTTTATATAAGGAAAAAAAACAAAGGGCCATAATTAGGTCAAATATTATCTAATCGCAAAACCCCGACAATATGCGCCAGGGCACTTGATGACAAAGCTTCTGTGAAAGTTTGGTCAAAATCCGTTGAGAAATGTAGGAGTTACGCACAGAAGAAATTGTTTACGCCCGCCCGCCCGTCCGCCCGCCCGTCCGCCCGCCCGCCGACATACCTCAATCTAATAACCAGTTTTTTCCTTCGGAAAACCTGGTTAATAATATTACATCATACTCCTCTCCATAGCCTTTTTATAAATCTAAGTGGAGAAGTTGGTGTTAATTTGTGGAGATCTGACTTAGTATAGTTCTTGTTAAGTGATATAGTGAAGCAAGTTTATTACTGAAATACCATTATCAGGAAATAATTACATAGATTAAGTTGTTGATGAATATTAACATTTTTAAATGCTAGGTTGTTAAAATATGTTTTCTGTAATTATAAAGTCCCTCCATATTATTTATATGCCATATTGTCCATAGTATGATTGAGTGATATTATTTTCAACTCTTTGATAGTTCTGATTTGTATAAATATTATAATATTGATATTTTTGTAAACTTAGTATTATTATGTAATGGATTGCTACTAATTAAATGTATGAGCAGATATTACATATTTTCATCTATTTTTATTAATGCAGTTCTACAATTTATTAACATATATGCATGGATTAACTAGTCCCTTATATCATATACAATGTATTGTAAATATTTCACAGGTTTATATTCCTACATGTACAAGTTTATAGAGAAATGTTGTTTTTTAAGGAGCTGAATGACATTTTAATAAAACTATAATGTAAGAGAGAACCCCAAGTGCTGTTGTTGATCAATAAATGAAGGTGAAAATATTAGAATTTAAAAGGAACTCCACTTAGGTTCAAAAGCTTAAAATCATACACTTTGAATTTCTTAAATTTCGGTAGATCAACTGGGGCACTTGAAAGAGAAAGACATGCAAATGTTAACCCGATACCACATGAGCATTTTGTGAAAAATGCCTGTTTTCATTTAAAAGCCCCCTGTTACAAGTTCAAATTGCTATGAAACTATTGAAAAATGCGTCAATGCTGATAAAACTTGGCACACACGTTGACCGCACCATTGCCTTTATACTTAAATTTCCTGTTACCATGCCAATGAGGGAATATCTCAAAATTGCCGAAATCATTATTTTGCGTTGATTTTTTCTATCAAAAATGATTTGAAGTGCTGCAAATTTTTACTTTCAAATATAAATACTAAACAAAATCAGTGAAAGCATGATCAAGAGTTAATGCCTCAGCCTTATTTAAGGATTTCTGGCTGTGTACAAACCCTGTTAGGGTCAAGACGTAGTTTCTGTGAGCAAAAAAGTTTTCACTCACTGTTTAGTACTGTTTGGTTCTAGTAAAGGATTTGAGAATGTTTCAATAAGTATATAGCTTCCACAGAATGGATTTGAGGGTGTTTTAATAAGCATATAGCTTCCAACACAGACTAAAAATAAATTCTGTATAAATTATTATAAAAGGTACTCATATTGAAGTTAATAATGAATTATCATTTTTAACCTAGATTTTACCAAGAAATAATTATGTTGTTTTTTCCCCTTTATTTATATATTAAGATTTTATGATGATTTTACACAGATTGGCCATATATTCATTATTGTCAGATTGTTTTTTTTTTCCAAGTCCAAAGTTGACATGCCAAAGTTGGTGCTATAATGTAGTTGTCACTATATCAGCATTAATGGTTATATAAACATGGTTTGCTGGAATGCATGTACAATATGTTACAGGAAATTTACTTTGTTATTCTTTTTTCTATACGCAATATTATTGTATGTAATAAAAACATAAAAAACAAACATTGACAGTTGTTATATGTTATATCTATTCAGCAAACATGTCCAAGAGCAACACACTTTACTCAGTGCTGGTTAGTAAACTGCACTTTGAGTTAATGAACAATAAAGATGAAAAATTTGAGTGTCCATGGTTGAGTTTCCAAGGGCACAGACTTTAAGTAACATGCTCTCACTGCTGTGGGTATGAATCCACATTGGATTGTTACATGCAGAGAAGCTATCCAGCTACCATTTACATCGATGGTTCTACTCGGGTGCCGTTCATGCCTGAAATAATGCTCGAAGGGTCACTTGAAGACTTTCTCCATCAGCAAAGCATAAGTCATTGTGACCTTTTCAGTGTTGGTGTGACAAACAACAATAGTTGTTGATAGTCAACGTGCTTGATTATTGTCAGTGTGTGGTAGTAGAACACGAGCCTGGATGTCAAATTTTCTTTGTTCTAAAAGGGGTGAATAATTCTGTCAAAATTCATGTTAAAGTTATGGTTCTTAGAAAGTGACCTCATACTTTGCTCTCATATGTGTGAAGTTTTAACCGATTCCATGCAGTAGTTTTGGAGATGAAAACTTCAACTTACACACAAAATTTTACCACAGTGATGCCAACCCAGCGGCGAGTACAATAGCTCTCCCTTTTCTCTGAAAAGTTGAGCTAAAAAATGAAAACCACAGCATCTTCATACATTTCTTTATTGATTTTTTAAGCAGTTACTGCAAAAGCACCATTATAAATATTGTAACATAATAATAGTAATAATAATAAAAATGCACTGTGGAATATAAAAAGCATTTTTCTATATTGAAAGGGACTCTACTGAAGTTTTCCAGTATTTGTGTAGCATTTGGTGTACTTTTGTGCAAATTTTCATTTCATTGCCTCTCCCCATTTCTTGTATTCTTTTTTGGCAAAATAATCCAAAAATGAAAAGCGTTGCAACACTTTTTACACTAATCAGACTAAGAATCACACAAAAAAGTTTTAATTTAATTCTGAGTATCTTTTTCATTTTTCCCCCATTTTATATACTTTACTTGATTAATGTTATAAGTTTATGTTTTTAAGCTTTTTGACCTCATTGGAGCTCCTTTATAAAAATATTCACATGTGCATATTGCAACAGCATATCTAATAAAACATGATATAGAATTTATAGCTTAACAACTTAAAACACAACCATTCTTATCGTACATATATACATGAAAATATATCAAAACAAGTTTAGCAGACATAAAGTCGGCTGTGTAAGTCAAATTTCATAGTATCGTGGTCAAGAATATATAGCACTATACAAATTAACGAAATTCTTAATTTCATCATTGAAATATAAAGAGGATCTCTCACTATAAATCATAATTGTTTTATAAAAAATATATATATATTTTCGTTAATATTAGTACATAATAACATGAGATATATTGTAAAAACAAATTAATCATTTTCATGGATTTTATTAAAACTGTAACAATTTTTTCATATACAATTCTTGAGGTTATAACTCGTCAATATATCACTTCCAATATATCACACTTCTATTTGATATCTCACTTCTCACTTTTCCCAGGTATATTATCTCACTCCTAATAGACCTTACATCATTTATCTATGACATAAAGGATAGCATTATCATACAATAAATATCATCTCTATTTTTCCTTGAGCATGTCTAGTTAATACAATATGTCCATTCATACACTTGTAGTTTTCTTTGTTTCCACAATTCAAAATTTTGTTGTAGGAAAGTTTAATACATGCACATCTTAACAAGAAATTACATTTATTTGCCTTTTTTCTTTATCTATGTAGTTGCCATCTTTCTTTGATAAACTGTAAAATAAATAATAAAAATTAATGTGAATACTTCTATAATATTCTATTTTTTTGCCTCTTATAGTACACAAACAATGTTAAACAATATTGATATGGTCAGTGTCAAATAAAATTTGTTTTAAATGACATTTTCTCTGTAAAGGTCAGTCATATGGTGATTTTCCATATTTACTGTTGAAGGGGTGTCTTTGGCCCAGTGGTTAATGTTGCCGACTTCAAACCACTTGCCCCTTATCACTGTGGGGTCAAATCCTGCCATCTTTTAGATTCTGTCATGTAATGAAGCTATCCAGCTAGTTTACGTATGTTCTACTCTGGTGCATATCTGTGCTTTATATCAGGCCAAAGTGAACTAACTGACCTAATGTAAGTTTACAAAATTTTACTACACAAAGTAAAAATATAATGCATATGTGGAAATATGGACACCAAATGTCTCAAATATAGAAATATATTTAACATGAAGCGTTATAAAACAAGTCTGTGTTCCTTAAGCAAGAAACTTTACACTAATTGCTCAGTACTGATTGGTTCCAGGAAAGGATTCAAAAAAGTGTGTCTATAAGCTTATAGCTTCCTACACAATCAAACTAAAATAAATTCTGTATAAACCAAATAGCTCAACAGACAAATCCTGACCTGAACGACCTTTCTCCTGTAGGCATTATCAGCCTCATTCTGGTTTCGTTTTGGGAGTTCTTTCTCATTTCTCTCTATTAGAATCTTCATTTGTTGAAGAGTCATCATGGCCAGTGGGTCAATCTTGTGCTTGTTGATTAAACTCACCAAATATTCCTTGTAGTGGTCCCTGAAAACATAGACATTAAAGATGTAAACAATTCATTAGACTCTTGAATATGTTATTTTGCAAACCCCACATTTATATCAAGCAAATTCTTAGTGTTTACTGGTAAAGGACTTACCCCTAATGGTCATTTTGTAAAGTTCCTTTTAAATCTGTAGCATAAGAAGAAGAAGAAATGACATTTTTTTCCTTCTATATTAATTTTCTGGTTATCAAACTTGATCCAATAGACTTGAACAAGGTCAGGAATTTAAGTTGAGCGAAAATCCATAACAGAGTTTAACAATGCTTACAAACCACAAATATTAATTGTTCAGTTTTTAATTTCCTTGCTAGCTTTATTCAAACTTTGCAATGAGATTTCTGGCAACTTGATTCATAATAATGTGTGACAAGCAAACAGTTTAAAAACATACTCGCAAAGGCCAGCTAATCCTCTCTTTGCATCCTTGCCACATGGTTCATCTTTTTTCTGAGGACCGTACTCTTTTTGTTCCATGACTGGACAATGTTCTGGGTCCTCTTGCGTGGGTGGAACTTCAGTATTGAACCGGCATTTATTATCCTGTAATATAGTGAAATCATGTAAATAACGGTGCCTGCCTCTCAAGTCAGGGAACATGGGTCCGAGCCTCAATTAGATCATGACAATGTTTCTTCATATGATACCAGTAATTTTTTAATCTAGAAAACAAACTAATGGGTGGTTGAAAGAAGCTTAAAACATTCCTCACAATCAAACTTACATAGATATTGTTTAGGAATCCAAAACCCACTGTTAACCTTCTACATACGAGAAAAACGCTCAACAGCTACTGCCAATATAATTACTATCACCTTAATGCAGTCACAGGTTTACTCCTACTAAATTTCAATAAAAGTTAGTTCATCACTGTGTTAAGGTGATGATATATAGAACTACTTGGCAAAAGCTATTTCTATCATTTTATTTTAGCTAGAGTACAAAAAAAAGAACTAATAATGTTATAAAATTTTACCTTGAGCAGCTTTTGAAGATCAGGTATATCCTCGTCTCTGAGGAAATAGAAACAGTCTCTCGGATGATGGCAATGTAGACCTTTCCCTTTACATGACTTTAACAGCTTACAAGCCTGTACAAAACACATAGACACTGTATAAATTAACTCTATATAACCAGTCAAACAATTTATAGACAAGCACTATGTTTGAATAAACGTCATGCCCCTTATGGTGATCTTGACTCGGTGACCTCTAAGTATGACTGGCAAGTACAGCTCAAAACAGTGAATGCACCTGTGAAGGTTGCAGGTAGAAGGTTGATATGGTCAAGAATAAAGTTTTGTGACAAAGAGATGGACCTTAAATAATAAGCTCTCACAATCTAGCCAAGTCTACAGAAAAGGGAAAAGTGGTCTTTGTTTAAAAGTGGTCTTAATCAACACTAACAAAATAACTGTGTATTTCAATGCTAGTTTTACTTTATAAAGAATCAATGAAGTAAAAACAACTTTTTAGTTAGCTATCATAAGATATTGTATTAAGATGCAAGAAAAAGAAAGCTTTAAGTTTGGCTATAGAATGAATGGTTAATTACAATACAGCATATATTTGAACAGGTACAAAGCTCGCACAGATATGGATTTCTCTGGCATAGTGTGCCTTTAAATATTCTGTAAATATGATTTATAAATTACATACCCCTTGATGAAGAAAAGCTTGTGAACATCCACTACAGAACTCATAGCCACACTGTGGACACTTGAAATGCATACAACCACCTTTAGCTAAACTATACCTCATCTTGCAGCTAGGACAGTCTGCAATATACAATATTATATAATCTATAAAAGTAAAAAAAGTTCCATGTAAACCAACAAAAATAATGGGAAACCCACCCCAGCCCCTCATACCTGAGAAAATGGGGGACTTTACCACAGTCCCCCTTATACCTGAGATAATGGAAAATCTACCACAGTCCATCTTATACCTAAGATAATGGTGACTCTACCACAGTCCCACTCATACCTGAGATAATGGTGACTCTACCACAGTCCCACTCATACCTGAGATAATGGAAACTCTACCACAGTCCCACTCATACCTGAGATAATGGTGACTCTACCACAGTCCCACTCATACCTGAGATAATGGTTACTCTACCACAGTCCCTCTTATACCTGAGATAATGGTTACTCTACCACAGTCCCTCTTATACCTGAGATAATGGAAACTCTACCACAGTCCCACTCATACCTGAGATAATGGTTACTCTATCACAGTCCCTCTTATACCTGAGATAATGGAAACTCTACCACAGTCCCACTCATACCTAAGATAATGGAAACTCTACCACAGTCCCACTCATACCTGAGATAAGGGTGACTCTACCACAGTCCCACTCATACCTGAGATAATGGTTACTCTACCACAGTCCCTCTTATACCTGAGATAAGGGTGACTCTACCACAGTCCCTCTTATACCTGAGATAATGGTTACTCTATCACAGTCCCTCTTATACCTGAGATAATGGAAACTCTACCACAGTCCCACTCATACCTAAGATAATGGAAACTCTACCACAGTCCCTCTTATACCTGAGATAATGGTTACTCTACCACAGTCCCTCTTATACCTGAGATAATGGAAACTCTACCACAGTCCCACTCATACCTAAGATAATGGAAACTCTACCACAGTCCCACTCATACCTGAGATAAGGGTGACTCTACCACAGTCCCACTTATACCCGAGATAATGGATGGTTATAGGTAGAGGCTAAACAACACAAATGATCTTCATGCACAATGTTAGCACAAATTCATGGTAATTCTTATTTACAAAGAATGAATATTTCAATATGTGAAATTTAATCTTAACATACCTATGCCATTCTCCTCAAGATAAAGTTTAACACCCTTTGCCTGTTTCTCTGGGTCATTATCAATCTTCCACTGCTCATATTCCTCACAGGACAACCCATCATGCTGCTCCTCCCACTATATAATAAATATGTATTTATTAAAATGACAACCCATTATGTTGCTCCTCCCACTAAATAATGAATATGTATTTAATATAATGCATATATGTGAACTCCCCCACTTTTAACGAGAGACTACTTCTTTCTGCAGCCATTTTTTCAAAGATTATTCTTAACATAAGGGGTATTTTCACAAGTTATAGAAATCTCCCTCTTTCTGATGTCAAAACTTCCTTTTTTGTTTATTGCAAACTCTAAAATCTCCCTCTTTTTGAAGAAAAATCTCCCACTTGATCATCAGAAAAAGTTAACATGTATGATAATGATGCTGCTCCTCCCACTTTATAATGAATATATATTTATTACAATGACAACCCACCATGCTGCTCCTCCCACTTTATAATGAATATGTATTTATTAAAATGACAACCCATTGTGTTGCCCCTTCCACTTAATAATGCATATGTATTTTAAAAAATGATACTGCTCCTCCCACTATATAATGAATATGTATTTATTATAATGATGCTGCTTTTCCACTAAATAATAAATATATATTAACTTTAATGAAGCTGCTCCTCCCACTATATAATGAATATGTATTAACTATAATGAAGCTGCTCCTCCTAATTTATAATGAAAATGTAGTAATTATAATGAAGGTGCCCCCTCCACTATAATATAATAAGTATGTATTTATCAGTCAATGAAAATGATTTTTATTCATAAAGACAACCTGTCATGTTGATTCTACCATTACCCATTAATACTCTTTGTAATATGATAACTTCACTAAGAAACATCTTTTTTCATCTTACATTATACACTATAACTTTGTCTATGAAGTGTCTGCTTTGCTATGCTTTTCAATGCGAAGTAAACAAACAGAGAATCTAATCTATATTTCATTCCCTTTGATATGACTTTATCTCACTCCTATATCTTGGTATCCCATTAAAAAGCATAGGATAAAAATAGTAACATGCATATTTATTTTTATTTTTCATATATACATTGAAGTTTACCTTAATCTTGCACATGAAGCATGTTTTCTTTTTACATGAAGGACATGTCATGCCTAACACATCCGGACGATCCCAAATGAAACCACTTGCACACTGAAATAAAATGTAAATATGTTTTTCACTTCATGCCTGAATACATAAACTTACTACTGAATTATGTAATTGATCAGATGTTTGTAAATGTGTATACTTCATGCAAATTTTCTGTTCAACCAATTAGTCTAAAATCTGTTTGACATTCAAATATGGCACATTGCCAACTTAATTAATGCATAAAGGTTGTAGGTCTTGGGCTGCCCCTCTATGTCTTATTTCCAGGCTAACAACTTCACATGTATTTCTCCTTTATCTGGCTTGTATCAAGAAGACTACAACCAACTATCAAATTATTGGAAAAACTTGTAAAAAAATATATATCATAGAATAAATAACAGTCTCAGAAACATACTGTTCAAGACCACCTTATTAATTTTTTTTCTCCAAGGAATAATGTCCATTTGAATTTATAATGTAACTTTTAAAGTTTTGCTATTCAAAACAAGTAATCATATACATATATATATTATATAATTCTACTTACATGGGCACACCATCGGAAGTTTGGATCTTTCTGGAGGTGCCAGTCTCGTAGTTTAATCTCATATAAATCAAGCACTTCCCTTGATACCATGCTTTGTAACTGTAATTGACCAATACTAATGCTTACAATTACATAATATCAATATCTTTAAAAATAGCATAAACACTTAACCTGAATAAGTAAAATGAATTAATCTAACTTTGAAGTTGGAACAGTCCATCCACAGTAAAAAGGATTTCAAAATCCAAAAAACAAAACAAGAGCTGTAGGTAGGACAGCACACTTGACTATTCTTAGTGCTTGATAGTAAAAGAGCCTTGATAATGTAAAATTTTCTAAGTTCACAAAAGGGCCAATTTCTTTTTCAAATCCATGTTACAGTTATAGGCCTTGGAGAGAGTCCTATTATGCTCTCAAAGAAGTGTATAAAATTTCAACTTGTTTCAAAGCAAGATGTCAATGAAATATGAAAATATCTGAGGTAGTATGCACACTTAAACATAAATTCTATGTCGAAAAAGGGGCATTATTCTGTCAAAAAGCTTGCTTTAGTTACATGTCTACAGGTTGGGGGCGCAATGGTGAACAAGTGTGCAAAGTTCCAAAGCCATATGTCAATGGACTTTGAAAATATTTGAGGTGGTACACAAACTTTTAACGTAAATTCTAAGTAAAAAAGGGGCATAATTCTGTAAAAATGCTTGATAGAGTTACCATCTCCTATCTACAGGTTGGGGTCATGATGGTGAACAAGTGTGCAAAGTTTGAAAGCCATATGTCAATTGACTTAGAAAATATTTGAGGTGGTACACAAACTTTAACATTCAATAGTGGTTACAACACAGACGCTCGGGTAACTAAAATAGCCTCTACTTATTCTTATCGCATAGTGGAGCTAAAAAGTTAGCTACCAACATTAAAGAGCCTGGTCAGACTGCATGGATGTGCAACATGGTCTATCTCTACACTGGTGAACAAATATTTTAGAGATTTGAATATTTTTGTATTGACTCGCAAAATAAATGCAAAGTATTTTAAGAAACTTTATGCCGTAGTCTTGTAAAATCTTGTATAGCATTACACTGTTCTCAACAGTTGTTAAATAACAGTTATCAATGTATGAGTGCACTTTAAATTGTTCAAAATATGATCAATTTATACAGAATTTACAACAAAATTTGTCCTGTGAATTTCATTTCAAACTATACGTATGTATAAAGTTATTCAATCTGATTACGTGTATACAATACATGTACTATTAAAGTCAAGACAGTCTAACAAATATTGCCGTATTTACCAAGTTCAAGCTAAATTTGATTAAAATATGTTTTACTCACAATTAATGACAAGAATTCAAAATAACTTGATGCTCTAGCCTCATCCTCAAGCCCAGGGGCGTCACACAATGGACAACACCAATTTCTGACATACTTTTCTCTTATTGCCACTTCAAAATATCCTTTGACACATGACTGACAGAGTTTACAGTTACATACATCTAAATCACGAATCTGAAATATGAAATGTTTACACTTAATACATCAGTAAAATTTCATGTGAACATACATGTATAGGGAAATATAATTGATTTTAAAAAGCATTTGGTGTTCACAAACAAGTCTCAATGTAAAAGGTGGTTCAGATCAGGTGATATTCAATTTTAATCTATAATTTTTATTCTACTGACACCTCGTGAACGTTCATTTCACTGTTCAAAATTCAAAACACAAGAAGTAAATAAAAAATATCTAAATGGATTTTTTTTTTTTAAATCATTATCAATTACCTTCGTCATTGGGAAATTTGAATAGCAGATTCCACAAGTCTGCTTTAGATAAACCAGTGAGCTTTTTCTGTCACCACAGTTACGGACAGCTTCGATAATGTCCTCGAGGGTACATTCGAGGGGATTCTCACTCTCAGTCACTTCCTTGTCAAGTATTGTCACAACCATCTCAGCTCGACCCCAACTTCGTAACTTCCCCTCAACAAAGACCATTCTTACCCTTCTCTGTACAAAAATATAATAAACTGGTCTAACAGGATTAAAGGTCAACTAAATAGTTTTCAACAATCATATTTGTATAAATAATGAATAAATGTACTTATTAAGACAAAAGAACATATTCAAATTGCTTAACATTCATCAAATCTTCACTTTCATGCAGTAACAGGTTAACTCCTGATATCGTTTAATAGATGTTAACCCAGTACTGCACAAAGGTGACAGAATAATGATGGAATTAACAGGTAGGAAATGCTAACCGGAAAAACATAGTCCAACCAATTGTCTTCAGAAAAATAACATCAGCATGTAATGTGGCTTCTTTCATGGTCTTTGTTTTCTTTGGGTTAAATAAAGATAACTAAGTGCTGTTAAATTTGTAAAATGTACTTGTAATTTATTTTTAAAGCAGAACTCCCTATGTTTCTGCTATTATCACTAAAATCCAAACATTACATTATCTATTTCCTAATATACTATAGTAATACACATATTATATCTTGCTTCACTATTGCACATTTCAAGAATTAAGTTACCTCTTTATCAATATATCAAGATTCAATGTTTCCTCTTTAGTTATACTTACAGAATTTATGTTACCTCTTGCCAATACGTCAAGATTTATCAATATTTCAATATCTAACAGATATCTTTATGGATACTTCAAGATTTAATATAACCACTTTATCAATATTTCAAGATTAAATGTTACCTCTTTATCAATATTTCAAGATAAATGTCTCCTCTTTATCAATATTTCAAGATAAATTTACCTCTTTATCAATATTTCAAGATAAATTTACCTCTTTATAAATATTTCAAGATAAATTTACCTCTTTATAAATATTTCAAGATAAATGTCTCCTCTTTATTAATATTTCAAGATAAATGTCACCTCTTTATTAATATTTAAATTTTACCTCTTTATCAATGGTAATATCACTAACAAGTCTTGTAAAGTTGGCATGGGTAATCACGCTGTTAGAAACACTATTGATCAGTTCTGCAGAGGCAGACCTGGCAGCTGCCGCTATAGCCACATCACCACCTGGTACCAAATAAATAAAAATATCTTCATCAAAAAAAAAGGTTAACAGGTTAAATGATTTAAGGCACACCAAATTCACGAATTGGAAAACCTAGCTAAACGCCGTGGTCCGGTACTTTCTGTACATAGCTCTGGGGAATTCATCTAATGGAGTGTAATAGCGAACTCAAAGTTTTCGGCCTTTTAAATTAAACTGAAATAAAACACTTATTTCTTTATAAGAAAATTATTAAATATCTTTGTATGAATAATTCCATACAAAAAATAAAGTAAATACACAAGTTTACGCAGAAAATAACCTTATTTATTATGTAAGATTCCAATACTTTGGTTTGAATTTTATTGGTTTTCATTATAAACAATTTATTTTTTTGAATAATTTGCAATAGATATTAAACGAATATTGATAATTTTCAAAAACATCAATTTTTTCACCTTAAACGGTTAAATAATGATAGAAAAATAGACATATCTCGTAACTGTGTTATGTACTTCATTTGGTGTAATTCCCCAGAGCTAAAACGGTAACGTACCGGAAAACGGTGTTTAGCTAGGTTTTCGAAAAGGTCAATAACTTCTGCATAAGTGTATATAGTGTATAAAATTTTATAAACCAGATCAGATATTTGCATTTTATATTTTGCAAAAATAGACACATTCCACAATTTAAGAATACATGAAATTTCATACCAACATAATTGAGTGAATTGTATATAATGAAAGAAACTTCCTTGAAACAAATCTGTGACCAATGAAACATGTTTAACTGGATTTTTTTTGCGTGTTTTTTTAAATTTATTGTTACTAAAAGACGATAGTATATGGAAAATAATCTATCAGTATAACCCTAACAACCAGGTATGGTTCTTAACAATTATGGGCTAAATTTCTACTTGAAGAAAATATTTAACTTAAAAAAATTTTGTTGGATCAACACAAACGCCTACGTATTCCTTAAATACATTTGAAAAAATATTTTCCCAGTTTTCAAGAGGGCAGTCACTTTCACTCAGCCTCACGTATCAAAATTGAAGAAAGTGGAGTATAAATGTAAGGGAAGATAACTTAAAGCTAAATATGGGGCTAGTTTTTTTACTGTAAAACATTTATTTATTGATTATATCCCATTTTAGCCATTACTATTCAATTAAAATGCAGTTTACCTGCGTTTTCGTTGGTTTCCCAGAGCCTATCAGCGTATGACTGTAGGACAGAATGGTTAAGCTGGTCAAAAGCTTCCTCAGTGACACCATGGTTTTGATACAGGGCCGTCAGAATATCTTCACGTGCATATTGATTAGAACTGTTAATCTCAGCAAACTGTAACAAATAAATAATTATTAAGATATATTGGTATAAGTCTATTTCTTAGTCTTTAACTTGATTGCTATACCGATTTTACCGATGTAACCAGGACCCAGCACATCTATGTCGTCTGATACATGGTCTGCATTGTTTGCTTCTCAGTCAGTATCTATCTTAATATTTTCTCTAAAAATTACCAATGGTTCTGTCCAGACTGATAGAAAGACATATCCATTTAATTAAGATATTTAGCGTGGTACAAGTATAGATGTGAAATTGTTTCAAAATATTTAATTATTTTTACTCAAACTAGATGTATAATATAATTTTGTGCAGATATCTATATATAATATATATATATAATTTATAATATCTTAACAGTATTAAGGGGATATTTTTTCATTTGAGTGAAATATGAAATATATTTTCTCGAAATACAATAAAATTATATATATTTTCACGAACTGGAACAGCGAGTGAAATATATAGAATTTTATTATTTAAGTAAAAATAGATTCCATATTTCTCAAACAAAAAAATAACCTTTTTATTCAGTTTTACCTACAACAAATCAAGTTGTTTACAAATACACCTATTTGCTACGCATTTGCAATTGTACAGCGTTATACATTAATTATAGGTGGTTTGAACACGGTTCAAATTCAATCAGCCATCTTCAACCACTTTGAAAAACATAACCAGATAATTTCCAATGATGAAATGATTGGTGAAGCTACTGGCAGCAACAGAGAAACATCTGAGAAGGTAGTCTTACAAATAAATACGAGTTTTGGCTCCGCCCACTTTCATATTTATTTTTCATGTTTGTTTTTTCACAAATGCATGTATGATCTATATTTGGCTGATATAGCACAATATTTCATTGGTTAAATTAAATAAATACATTTACTTACCTTAGCTTTTCGTTCTTGAACACACATCTTCGCAGCTTTTTCTATATCTCCTTCACAGTGTATAAGAGCATGTTTCGCTTCCTGGGTTGATATATCTCCGACATCATTCTGATCAGCAGACGCCCCTTCTTGTGTTGCCATGGTAGCCACTGTATCAATCAAATCTGACCATTTTGTTTGTAACCAGATCAGAGGGCGTTGCTTGTCCTGAATGCTGTGCGTCAAAGCAATCTGAATTTCTGGGACTTCAAAGCCTTGTCTCTCTCCCTCCTACTCATAATAAGATAGTAAAATATTACTGGAAGATAAACAATACTGTTGCCAAGCAACATAATCCTCATTGTATAACACATCATTATCAATTAAATAAAATGCAGATTCTCTCAACAAAACCACCTATTCCATTGTTTTGATAATCACTGATTTTAGACCAAAGTTTACCATAAAACCAGAGATATCACATATAAAATCAGTCACGTAACTATACATAGTAAAGTTTGTATGTATATGTGTTCATCATATACCTGTATGTTATTCTATATGTAATGCATATATCACATGCTCAATATGACCAGACTAAAAAGAGTTGTATTTAATCAATTATATTATGGTTCTCAATTCAAAGCTTGATATCTTCAACTGTTAAAGGGTAAAAATCCTACCAAACAGAAAGTTGACCCACCTTGATAATAGACATGATTTCATGACCATCTACAGTCATCTGTTCCTGCTCTCTCTTCATGTTAATTTGTTCTATTGCATCTACAAAGTTAAGCTGGGGAGGTTTTGTTGCTTTGCCTGATGCACCTGTCTGATTTGTGGCCTTCACCTTGGGTTCGGCATTTTCCTCCAAACTGCTGGCAGCTGTGTTATAGGAACTTGAACTTCCAGTTGACTGCCCAGAATGTATTCTCAACCTTGACAAATCTCCTTCAAAAAAGAGGATATAAATGTTTATATTCTATTATCATAAATCTCCTTAAAAAGGGGAATATAGATATTTATATTTATCATGTTATTTAAGAAATTATTTTTGCATTAATGACATTTATATCTAACTGAATCACAGGCATTAGACAAATGGCAAAAATGGATTGTTGAAAAGGAATTTGTTCTAGAAACAGTATTTAACAAGCAATTATCATAGTATTGCAAGCAATCCATAAGTCCCCTACCGGTAAGAGCCAAAGCAACATTTTGAAGGGCCATTGGCCATTCACTAAATAGGTTCCTATTTTAAGTAAATTTGTTGAAAAAGTTCTTTAAAAGTGATCACAGGAAACAGTTTTTATGTACAGACAGACGGACTGAAGGACACTCTAAAGTTATTTTTTAAACATCCCTGTTATCAAAATATAACATTTTTAAAATCCTATCATGATTGAAGAAGTTGGAGTAAAAATTACCAATTTCTCAAAAAAAAAAGTTAAGTTAAAAAGGGGCATAATTCTGGAAATAGTCTTGCTAGAGTATTGAACACTCATAAATGTTGAGTGACAATAAGAAACATTTATATGAAGTTTGAAAGTAGATACATTCAGAAAAAGAAGTTATTAAAGAAAACAATGATTTTTTCATGAAAATTTTAAGTTCAAGGGAGGTAATTCTGATAAATTTTGTGCTAGAGTTGTAACCTTGTCACATATGATGTGGTTGATGACAAGCAACTTATATTTAAAGTTTGAAGAAAAATACCTTAAGAAATAAAAGAACTTATAGTGAAAAAACTTAAAAAAAACTAGAATCAGAAATCTTGAAATTCAGTCTATTTGTTGCCATAGCAACCAGAATTTTCAACATAGGAAGATAAGAAAAGGATGTGCATAATTTCCATACTGCCATCTACCCATATGTCAAGTTTCATAAACATATTTTTTCAGTACTTTTTGTGTATCACTGGATCCAGGTTATGTGTAAAATTTGCCATATTTTCAGTCTATTTGTTGCCATAGCAACCAGAATTTTCAACATAAGAAGAAAAAAAAAAAGACGTGCATAATCTCCATACTGCCATCTATCCATATATCAAGTTTCTATAAAAATATTTTCAGTACTTTTTGCGTTATCGCGGGATCCAGGTTATGTGTAAAATTTGCCATATTTTCAGTGTATTTGTTGCCATAGCAACCAGAATTTTCAACATAGGAAGAAAAGAAAAAGATGTGCATAATCTCCATACTGCCATCTATCCATATATCAAGTTTCATTAAAATATTTTCAGTACTTTTTGCGTTATCGCGGGATCCAGTTTTGTGGACAGACGGACTGACGGACGGACAGACGGACGGACGGACGGACGGAGGGTAAACCTAAAGTCCCCTCCGGTAAACCGGTAGGGGACTAATAATTGCAAGTATTTGTCTTGGTAGTTATAAATACATGAATACGGATGTCCTTTCTTGGTAAGAAGTAAAGTAATTTTTGTGGATTTATGTCAAATTGTCTTATTTGTTTCCCGGACTTTAATTTTTTATTATATATATGACTTAAAATTTTTTATTGTTTCAGTTTCTATTTTCTTATAAGTGTTGAAATTAAAAATTTGTGTCTAAAAATTTATATTTTTTTAAGAAAGATTCTTTAAGAGACTCCACTGAGGTTTTTTTACATGACAGGACTGGAAATAATTTTTCCAAGTTAATGTCTCATTTGATCCATGTCTAGACCAATAACTTGTATAAATTTCAGATATTTCATTCACTCTGTTTAACCACAATAATCATTCTTATGCTAAATATGACCCAAAACTGAAAAGCTAGCAATGCTTTTCACTCAAATTGAGCAAAGAAATACATACAAAACTATGATTTTCAATTTATTTCTGTCTATAACTCTTAATTATCTTTTGCATATCTTTCTGTTTTAAGTTCCCCAGCTGACCTATGTAAGATATTCAAAATTTTATGTTTATTTTATGTTTTGGACCTCAGTGGAGTTCCTTTATGTATGGCCTTTCTATTGTAGTCTCCGTTGCTTCAGTAGTATCTTTATATTTTTATTGTTTCAACTTGAGTTTGTCTATGTCCATCAAGATTCAGTGTGATCAGTTAATCCTTTATTTGTCCCGTCAGATTTTTGGCGAAAAAAAAAAAAGTTCCTTTTTAACATTGTTGTTGTGAATTTGTTCCCACAGTGGTGACTTTGATCTTAATTTCATATATTTCTCTATATCTTATCAGTGTAAGGGGTTAAAACTTGATAGGGCAGTTGTATACATAATACAAAGATATAAAGATATAAAACATGGACTGGAGTGGGGGTTTAAGCGGGTAGATTGGGGAATTACATTACTATTGTCAAGAAATATGTAATATATTTATACCTCCAAAGATGGGAAGACGTGGAATTAAATAACTCACTGAAAACAAAGTACCTTAAACAATTTTGCTTCTTGTAACAAAAAAAAGATGTTTTTAGTATACAGTTATTCTAAACAATTAAAAAAATAAATCACTTTTTTATTTACTCGTTTTGGCAAGGAAGCAGTATAATAACTATGCCTTAATGTTTGCCAAGTAGAAAAACCAGAACCTCAATGAAAAGAGATATTTCTTTTGTGAGGGAGTAATTAAGCTAATTTATGGAAGGTCAGTGGTTCTACCCGGGTGCCCCCTCAAGCCTGAATTAATGCACCAAGGGGCACCTGAGGTGTTTATCAACCACTAAAGTGATTAAAAAAAAACTATAATTAATGTCCTTTATAATAATTATTATTTATTATTCAAGTTGATTTATTACC